CGCTGCTAACGCGCCAGAGGAAGAGGGGTCCTTCTCCATCGACACCTCCTTTTCAGGCTTCATAACTCGAGCCTTTTATCTCGTCTGCCCACCTTCCTTTTCTAGTGCTGGGTTCTCCAGGACTGTTAAGGTCTCCCCAGCTACTGCCGCTTTCTCCTTCCAGAAAATATGGGGCCGAGGGAGGGGATGGAGCTGACGTTGATGTTCCCAAGGGCCGGCAGGTGGATGATGGGGATTGTGCGGTTGGCATCCCCTCCAGCCACCTCCTCTGACCATGCGCCTACTCTGACCGGCCTTGATGGGGGAATTTCCATGGAAAGGGGAAGTCATCTCTTTTCCCTGCTCTCACCTCTGGCAGAACAAGGGCAGGCTTGGATCCTGGACCCACCCATCTGCCTCTTCCCAACCCCCCTCATCAGAGTGTGATCAGTCCTTAGGTGTCTGGTGGTCTGGGAGTCCGAGTGTGTCCTCAGAGCCCTGTGCTGGACAGCTCACCCAGCCAGAGACACAATCAGGTTGAGCAGAGTGTGTTAACAGGGAACCCCCACTGCTCCATATCATCCTCCTGTCCTAGCGGCCCATGCAAAGGAGCTTCAGGGATCACATATTCAGAACATCCCCAGCAGCCCCCTCCCCCAGCTTGGACTCTGCCTGCAGTGGCCTTGGGTACAACCTTTCTTTAGCCGCCCTCCCCCTAATCCGGCTGAGACCAAGTCAGCTGCTCTAACTTCCCCCACTCAGTTCTCCATCTCCTCCCAGTCTGTGGCTGGCTCCAGATCAGAAGCTAGGAAGAGAACCCCTCCCCCCTTCCTGCCTCTTTCTAGTGTGCCTTGAGTTGCTCTTGTTCTTTGGGAAGTGAGACTGACTGACACGCACACTCCCTCCCCACAGTCCCTGAACTCTCTGGTGTCTCAGGGACAGTTTTCTTGCTCTCAACTTATGGGTCCATTTCTCTAGCTAGCATCCCTGGCACTTCTTCTTGCCCTTGACCTCACCTTTAGGCTGGGGCAGGTGGAGGCTGAGGAGCAGACTGGTCAAGGAGGAGAGGGCCTGAGGGCCTGAGGTGGTTGGCAGTGCCCACCCTCCCACATTCCTGGCACTCACCTGGTGTTGCCAGGGCCCTAAGCCTGTGCCCTGGCCCCACCCCTGGGGATCACGAGTTTGCCAGTCAGGGCGTCTCTGTGGTTTCCTGCTGACTTCACTCCATTCCAGACAGCTGGGGGCTGATGCTGGCAGAGAGGGGCTAAAGGGGCCCTGGGAAGGGAGAGGGAGGGGGCAGGAAGGGAGAAGCCTTGGGCTGCAGAAGGGGACATTATTCCATGGTTTGTTGCCCAGTGAGTGACCATTCCAGCCCATCCCCAGCACCAAGAGTGGACACAGGTAGCAAAAATAGAGGAGGGCTTCCCCTCCTAATAAACTGAGCCTCAGGGTGGTGATAGGTTTGTTCACATCCTGCTGGCTGGTTGGGCAGGCCAGGCTGCGTTTCTCTGTGTCAACCCTCCCTGCTCAGAGGTGGCAGTGAGGTGGGTGTTGTGGGGGTGAGCTGGGGCAGGGGTGGGGTGGACCTGTCTCTGGGCAGATGCCCAGACTGGAGGTGCTGGTTTTGAAAACTCCTATGGGTTTGTGAGCTCCCAAGCTCTGAATGTTGTCCTTGTCCTCTGTCCTCCAGGTAAAGAGTGAAGGACCCAAATTGGTGCCCTTCTTCAAGGCCACCTGCGTGTATTTTGTGCTCTGGCTGCCTTCGTCCAGCCCGTCGTGGGTCAGCGCCCTCATCAAGTGCCTGCCTATCTTCTGCCTCTGGCTCTTCCTTCTGGCCCACGGCCTGGGATTCCTGCTGGCCCACCCCAGCGCCACTCGCATCTTTGTGGGGCTTGTCTTCTCTGCTTTAGGTGATGCCTTCCTCATCTGGCAGGACCAAGGGTTCTTTGCACACGGTCAGTGGTCACAGTACCTACCTGGGAGGTCCCTGGGAGGGGGCAGGGATTTGGAAGAGGGAGGTTTTGAACCAGAATATGGGGAATCTGAAGATTTCTGTGGCCAGGAACTGTGAGGGCCTCTGTTGGAGGATGACCTTGCAGGTGATCTGATGATCAGTTCTAGAGTTCTTCAGGGGAATGGGAGTGATGGCCTTTACTTTTGTGGATCTTCCCACCCCTTAAACTTGCAAAGCAAAGCTGCTGGGTTATCCCAAACACTCCACCCCACCCGTCACTCGTTCCTCACCAAGCCTGCCTTCAGCGTCCTTCATCCCTTCTCACTCCCAGGTCTGCTGATGTTCGCTGTGACCCACATGCTCTACGCCTCAGCCTTTGGCATGCGACCACTGGCTCTTCGGACAGGTCTGGTGATGGCAGTGCTATCGGGCCTGTGCTATGCCCTCCTCTACCCATGCCTCTCAGGTGCCTTCACCTACCTGGTGGGGGTCTATGTGGCCCTTATCAGCTTCATGGGCTGGCGAGCTATAGCAGGGCTGCGGCTGGTCGGGGCAGCCTGGCGCTGGACTGAGCTGGCGGCTGGCGGGGGCGCAGTGTTTTTTATCATCTCAGACCTGACCATCGCCCTCAACAAGTTCTGCTTTCCCGTGCCCTACTCACGGGCACTCATCATGTCCACCTACTACGCTGCCCAGATGCTCATCGCCCTGTCAGCTGTCGAGAGCCGGGATCCCGTGGAAGACTATAGACTGAGCAAGGCCAACTGAGGTGCCATGGTCTGGTCACCCCTCTCTCCTCCTGGGGCTGGGGTCCAGACCCTGGGAACCTGCAGGAGCTGGATCAGGATGGCTGCAGTGCCAGCCTGGGGCAGCAGGTACTATGTGGGGAATTTACAAGTTTGAGGGGGTAAGAAGGAAAAGGATCTCCCTAGCAAAGCTAGTGGTCCAGGACAATGCTGAGAGCTAAAAGAGCCAGCCTAACCCCTTGCTGGAGCCAGAAGTAGACATCTCCCCACCTCTACCCAATCAGGACTGTCAGAGCCCCTCTGGAGGGTGATGGTGCTCAGCTTCCTGACCCCCCTTCCCCTACTAGGTGGAAGAATCTGACTCTCTCTCTCTTATGCCTAGGACCAATGGCAATGCTGGGCTCACTCATTCCCACCTTTTCTGATCTACACAGAGTTTGAAGGAAAGAGGGGAGAAATCTGTACTGAAAAGGCCCAGCCGTAGGGCTTGAAGTCTCTTTCAGAGGCCTCCAGTTGGGAAGATTGGATGAGAGGAGAGTCTCCCTTTCCCTCTTCTATCCTTGTTACTTGAACAATCTGAATCTCTAAGTGGTGGGTGGGAAGGTGAAGGGGTGTCTGTCCAGACAATGCAGGAGAGGGAACTTCTTTGGTCAGGAGCTTGGGGTACCAAGGATTCAAGTTGGCCCCATCTCTCTTGCAGGCCAGCCCAAAACTCAGGCCCCATACCACCACCCTCAGACCCTGTCCCCAGGGCTAGGGTGAACCATGCCAAAGGAAGGGGCAAGCCTGTGTGTCTGTGTGTCTCTTGTTTGTATATAGTCTGTCTCCCAGCCTGCCTATGTCTTTCTCCGCCACATGTCTCTGTCCTGCTGTCTGTCAAAGTCTCATAGGGAGAGGGCCTCAGGGAGCTGCTGAGGGGGTGCTGAGCCTGGCTCAGAGAGCTGGGACCCTTCCACCCCCCCCAACACACACACTCTCAATGCTTTTCTCCCATCCCCTCCTACAGTAGGAGCAAGAGGAGGGGGTTCCAATGACACTCTGGGGTTATAAGACCCAAGGCACATACAATGCAAGGGGAGCAAGGATGAGACAACTCCATCCTTTACTGCCCATGTGAAAAAAATAAAAATAAAAATCAAGGGCCATTGGCTACCCCACTTGTCTGCTTGTGTGGCATGTGCTTGTCCTGGAGAGGGGTTGGGGGCATGGTGCCAGGGCCCTGGCTGCCCTCACATCCTGGATCATAGTCTTGGCCAGTGCATCTTGGCGCCAGGCTGGCTCCCTGGCTCTGGTGACACTGTGCTGGTTGGAGTGGGTCGCACTTCCCTGGTCACATGTGTGGGTGAGGATGTGGTTCAGGAGGATGGGGGATGGTTAGTATTTGCCACTATCCAAATCTGTCATTATGCACTTCCCTATGCACAGATGCCCAGCACCTGTGGTGACCTTTAGTTACCTAGTGTCTTCTACTGCTGCCCACCACCTCCCCTCCCCAGTCCAGACCTGCTGCCTGTTCCAGATACCCTTCAAGTATCTCCTTTTCCTTGTGCTCTGGGCTTGGTTGAACAGCTGGGAGGAATGGGATTAGATTGGCTGATTCATACTTTAGCTGTAAAGCCCTGGCAGAATAATTTGTCACCTCACTCCAAGGGCATCTGCATCTTAACAGGCAATGCCCTAACCCAGAAGTACAAAAGGAAGCCTCAGGTGGTGGTGAATATGCCTTTTTGTAGAGGTATTGCACATTTGTGGGGATGTGATATAGGAGACTCAAATCTCATGTGTGTTGGATGAATCAAGGATTTTCAAATTAGGGTCTTTACAGAGATTTCTGGTACAGAGTAGCAAAGGAATAAGGAGAGGAGACAGGCTCAAGGACCCCTTATCCTTGTTTCAAGTCCAGTAACTTCTTAAGATTATTTTTTTAAATGAAGAATTTCACTGCAAAACATAGATTTGAAACTTAGTGAGCTGGGTGACCAATCCTTTGTAGCTCTCACGGTGGGAACCCTGGACATGGAAGAGGCAAGGTCCTGATCCTTTCAAACCCCAGAACTCTGAACACAGACCTACCTAGTATGAATACATGGGAGGGAGCAGGATGGGGAGGAAGATCAAGTCAGGAAGACTTGCCCCCATTCCCTAAGGGGAAGGGGAAGGTACAGTGTGGGCACAGAGGCAGGGGAGGCAAATCAAGGCCCAGTCAAAAGGGGGCTAGTTACTCCCTTGTGCATGGGTTTGGACAAGGCTCTTAGGAGTCTAGGTTTGGGAATCCTCATCCCACTCTCACTTCCATCCTTTTGCTGTATACCACTCTCAGGAACAGGAAAGCATGAGCTTAGTTTATTGTCCCCTCCCTTCATTGCATGTTTACACTGACAAGCACCAGAGAGCAACCTGGGCTGCCTGCACTGGGCCATGCAGAGGATGGGCCAGGAAGCCCCACATCACAGCAGCCTCCTGATGCCTGGGCCCGGCTGGAGCTCACATAAGGTACTTTGATTTCTTCTGCAGACTCTCGGTGATGGATGCTAGAATTGACTTGTCATCTTTGTCTGAAAGAGCAAAGCAAGTATTTATTAGTGTTAGTGATTTCAGGGTAATTCTAACCTGCTGGACTTGGAGTTCCTGTGCAGGAACCAGGGGCTGGACCCTGGGACCCTTAATCCTGAGGTTGACAGAGTATATGGGATCAAGAGTTGCCATTTACTCAGCACCAAATATTTGCCAGGAATTGTGCCAGTTACTTCATACGCTATCTCATTTACACCTCAGAGTCCTATGAGTAGAAAACAGGCTCAGAGAGGGAGCTTGCCAAGGTCACATGGCTGCTCAGTGGTGGAGCCTGGGCCCTGGGCCCATCGCTTACAACCAGAGGTAAATTATCAGGGATCTCTCTAGCTGTGGAATGGAAGCCGGATAGCTCCCACAGTGCTTTCCCTGGCCTAGTTCTGTTGCAGTTCAGCAGCCACTCTGGAGACATCATCTCGGTGCCAGACACTTAGCTAAGTACTGGAGAGACAGAGCAACAGGATATGGTCCTTTCCCCAAGGAAAGGCATCTATAACTGAATAAAAAAGGTCTGTAACCATGGAGACCACAGCAATGGAGTGCCATGGAGAGTTCAGGGCGTGGCAGAAAATGAGACCAGAGAGGTAGGGGAGAGGGGAGACCAGAGTAACCTTGTTACTTTGGAATTTTATCATGAGGGGAAAAGCTAGAAGGGTAATTTTAGGAAGACAAAGCAAGGCAGGTCAGCTTTGCATTTAGAGTGCTCATGCTGCTAGCTGTGTAGCTATGTAGACAGCAGACTGTGTGGGGAAGGAATAAAACATTTCCCTGCACGTGTGTACATATGAGCAGAAACAGGGCATGCGTGTGCAAAAGGGAGGGTTCCCTTCAGTCCTCCCCTTATTTGTGCCTCCCCTCTGTCCTTATCCAAGACCAGTGGTTTTCAATCTTGGTTGCACATCAGAATCACCTGCAAGATTTTGTAAACATATAGATTCCTTCCAGAACCCTGCCAGAGAGTTTGTGATTGGGTGAGTCTGGTTTAATACAGTATCTTTTTTTAAAGGTAGCTGAAGGCCCACCAAAGGTTGCAAAGCACATCTTATCTAGGGATGGAAAACTCCCATGTCTGTATGGGCCAGTGCGCATAACAAATGACATCCAGAGGATGGGAGAGCGGCAAGAACTCTGGCCAATTAAGAATGTTTGCGCCACCTGATAAAAGATTAAATAAAAAACCGTACCAGCCAAACGAAGAGAGCTGACAAATGGCCCATGATTACAGCATTGTGTGTCTCTGCTCCAGCCAGGACGCTCCCCCTCTCCTGTCCCCCCCCTTGCCAAATGCCAGGCTGGCCCAGTGGCGGCCGGTGGCGCCCTCACCGTAGACAGTGAGCGTGCAGCTGCTGCGGTCCTTGCCCAGCTCGTTCTCCACCAGCACACTGTAATCGCCGCTGTCCTTGAGCGTGCAGGTGGGGATGACGAGGGTGCACGCCGCTGGTGGAGTTATACTAGAACTTGGAGTCGCCCTTGTAGAGGGTCACCGTGGGCCGCGGGTTCCCAAGGAAGGCGCAGGTCATGGTGCAGTCCTGGCCGCGGAGCACCGTGTGCGGCTTGAGGGGGGTCAGGAAGCGTGGCGCGTGCCAGTCCTTCTGCTCGTAGGGCTTCAGCTTGGCGCTCAGGTCCTCAGACTGCGTGGGGGCGAGGTGGGGGTAGGGGCCAAGGCGGGCCGTGAGCGTGCCCCAAGGCCCCCCCCCCCGCCTGCCCCCATCCCTCCCTCTAGAAAATATGCAATCAGTCAATTTGCCTTGCGTGATTGTCTCTTGTGGCCCCCCCCCCGCCTGCCACCCCCGTCTTAGAGCTCGGAAGGCGCTGGAGACCCAGCTCACACGGAACCCCGAATACCTGGGCCAGATTCCCAGATGCAATCAAGTCTGGGGCCTCGGACTTTATACTCGTTTCTAAGGGCATCTCCGCTTTCACACACCTCCGTCCCTCCCCCTCGCCCCCAGCCACTCCAGGGTTCGCAGGTTTTTATGCTTTTCCAGACCCAGGGGTCTTAGATGTCTTCCCAGCCCCAGCTTCCTGGACCTGGGTGTTGCAGTTGTTGCCCCGCCTTTAACTCCGCCTCCAAGCTTCCCCTACGTCATTTCAGCGTCCACGGTCTCCTCTTGTTCCCTTTGAGCCCCTCTTTTGAACGCTGTCCCGCCCCTTAACCCCTTACCTCCAGGGTTCCCAGATGCCGTCCGTCCCGCCCTGCGCAGCACTAAGCAGACCGAGTGGCTCTAGCCACGCCCCACGCCCCTCCCTGCCCCTCTACCGTCATTCCCATCCCCAGAGTTCCATCCTCAAAGTTAATCTCACCCCTGACAGCACTCGGAGGAAAAATACCTCCCCGGCTAGGCTTCTCCAACATCTACTTCTCTCCCCAGCGTCCCAGACGTGAACTCTTTCATGGCAAAGATTCTCAGACTTTTCTTTCACCTCTTGGGTACTCCTGGTGACCCTGGTGCGATCCCCACCATCAGGGCTTCCAGATTTAACCCGAACCCTCAAGGCCCCTGACTCACTCTGGTCCTTATTGACGAGCCAGGTGTCCCTGGAGTCAAGCGGTTCGCTGTCACCGATCTCATTCCGAGCCACCACTCTGAAGTAGTGCTTCCTGCCTGGGAGGAGCCGGGTCACTGTGTACTTGTTGCTGAAGATTCCGGCCGCAGTGTACCAGGTGGCCGTGCTTGCATCCCGCTTCATGATGACGTAGTGGGCCTCACCGTCCTCTTGCACATCGGGGCTATGGTTCCAGGTCAGAGTCACCGTGTTGGGGACCTCCTCAAACAGCTGTAGGTTTGTGGGGGGCGGGGGAAAATCTGGAAGAATTGGAAGGTCTGTAAGTGACCTTGGGGGGCCTGAAGTATTGCGCCCACACACTGGCCACCCGCCAAGCCTGAGGGAAGGTGGGATGGGGCACATCCCGTCTTAGTCTAAGGCAGCTGGTGTCTTAGAGTCAGAAAAACCTGTTTCCAAAGTGCTGCTCTGCCATTTATTAGCCCTGTGACTTTGGGCAAATTACTTATCTTTTCTGAGACACCTTTCCTCATTTGCAAAATAGGGGTAACAACTACTATTTCTTGGAAACAGTGGGTAAAGTGCCTGGCATGTAGTTACTGTTCAATAAAAGTTCATCCCTTCCTTCCTTGGGCATTTAGAGCTTTATTATATAGCTTCCAGCCCTTTCTAAGAGGTCACCCTAATTTTTAATGGATTAATCTCTCCCTGCCCCCCCTTTACCCATTCTCTACTTTCTCTGCCAACCCTACTCGTATATGCCCCAAAGCTCACCAGATATGACTGCAGAAACCGAAACAAAGTCTTGGTCCTAGTTCAATGCCTCCAGGGCTTTAGGCCCTTGAGAAAAAGCAGGGAAACAGCCCTCTCATTAGGCAAAGGCTGACACAGTTTTGCTTTGTGGGTTCAAAGAAGGCTTCACTACCATAAGGCACAACTTCCCCATGGTAGGAACTCCGTACCTGCCACACGCACATGGATGTCGTAGTATGCCTCTCCAAACTCATTCTGGAGCAAGATTCGGTAACTCCTGAGTCAGAGCGCTTGGTGCTATTGATGAGGAACTGGGATTGGTTTTTGCTCTTGGTGATGGTTTCCCGGCCCTTGGTGGGGATGCCATCTTTTTGCCAGATCACGTCGGGCGGTGGTGAGCCCTGGGTGGTGACAGGAGATGGCACCACTGGTCATCTAGATCAGTGGTCCCCAACCTTTTTGGTACCAGGGACTGGTTTTATGGAAGACAATTTTGCCATGGTCCAGGGAGTGGGGTGTGTATGGTGCAGAGCTCAGGTAGTGATTCGAGGCCTGTTTCCCAAGAGTCCACTGATCAGTACCAGGCTGTGGCCTGGGGGTTGGGGACCACAGACCTAGATGGTATTTGGGGATAGGACCTTCCCCTGGCTCCATGTCAAGGAGTCTCCTGCCAGGCTTTAGCGCCAGGGATCTGGTGAGGGGCGGAGTCAGAGGCAGAGACTAACGATGGCTACAGTAGCCACCTTGGTTATTATGTGAAGAGCATATGGGGGCGATGGTCAGGGAAAACTCACAGAGAAGGCTGCGTGGATGCAGAGGGCTGTCCCAGCACGAGCCACCATGTGACTCTTCAGCCAGGCACTGAGGTCAAACTTGGGCACAGCTGAGACGGAGGAAACAGAGGTGGGGGCATGGGCCTCTCTTTTAAGAAGACTCAGCTTTAAGCCTTCCCACCAAAGTCTTTCCCAGCCTCTTTTCTTTCTTGCCGTCACTCAAGGCCATACAGACATCTTGTTGCTCTGCGACACTATGAAGCATTTGTTTTCTCATCTGTCTTATTCTACTAGCATGTAGGACCCTAGAAGGCAGGTCCTGCGTCTTGTTTCTATGTCCCTAACATTTCCCTTGACACAGAGTTGATACTATTTAGCACACAATGAGTCTTTTTAAGTCTTTTTTTTAAAGGGTAACCCCTGGGGTTACCCCTAGCTCTGTCCAACAGGTATGCGTGACTTTTTCTTGATCATAGAATCACCCAATTTTCTCCTGTGGAATGAGGCCCCAGGGAGGAAAGTTTGGAGCTAGGATGTTGGGTACGAACCCTCAGCCCTGTCTCTGTCCTCACCTGGTGGTGGCATGGCACAGACTCCCTCATCTAGCTCCACAGGCTCCCCGACCCCAGCCTCATTCACAGCCCGGATGCGGAAGAAGTATTTCTGCCTCTCGGTGAGGCTTCCCACAGTGTAGCAGGTGCCTGAAATGGGGATCTTTGTGTACTTGGACCACTCCTTGGTGTCTTCAGCCCGCATCTCAAGGATGTAGCCAGAGGGGGGGTCTCCCTCTACAGGCTCCCGCCAGCCCAGGGAAATGCTGGAGTTGGAGGAATCAGACATGTACAGGCCCTGCACCAGGCCTGGGGGTTCTGGGGTAGAACAGACGTACAGTCAGCCCCCAGACTCATCCACACTCAATGCTATGCCCGCTTCCCACACTCAGTACTCCTGAACCCTTTCTCTCACCACTTCTATCTCCAACACCCGCAGTTAACTCCCTCAATACCTAACCTTGCATGCTCAACAACCTCCAAATTCAAATTTAATTCTCTTACCAACTCCATACTTTCATCCTAATGTCAATACCCTCCAAATCCAACATATCTTATACATACACTATATTTAAAACCCCAGCCTTTAACCCAGCCATCTCTACCACACCCACTGACAGGTAGCACCCCCACCCTCCTTCCTACACTCAGCACCCTCACTCATTCCTCACCAGCCTGTGACCTCACCTAACCAGAAGTGCTCAAAGCTTGATAAAAACTTCTTTTGCATCCTACCTCCTCACCATCCCTGACTCTCAATCTTTATTTTTTGCTTTCTCTTGTGTGTGAATCCTGTCCCTCTGGAATGCTGGCAGCTTCCAGAGAGTGGGGACTGGGTGATTTTCCCAGGGAAGAAATTCTCTCTCTACTTTGAATGAGCTAATTCTACTATGTTGTGGGGCCCAGCAGCTCCATACTCACTAATGGGATCCTTGGCTACTACTGAGCTGGATGGCATACTGGGGTGCCCAGGGCCTGCCTTATTTACAGCTATAACTCGGAATTCATATTCTGTGTCCTCCAGGAGACCATCCACAGTGTACTTGGTGCCTGAAATGGGAAACCGAGGGTTGTGAGGCCTATGGGGTGAGAGACCAGAGTGAGAGACCAAGGACGAGGAGGTCATGGGGTGTTGTTACAACTTCCAAAATAGTTAGGGGCGGGAGGACAGAGTAGCAATGGTTCCATTCCTTTGGTCTCTCCTGGGTCTCTATCTCTGGAATCTCACCTTGGATGGGGTCCTTGTTGACTGGCACCCACAGGTTACTGCCTTTCTTCCTTCGCTCTACAATGTAGCGGAGCACTGGGGCTCCCCCATCCTGGGTTGGGCCATTCCATGTGATGATGGTCATGGCCTCTTTTGTCACATCAGTCACTTGAGGCTGGGATGCAAGACCAGGGGGCTCTGTAGGGGACAGAGAGAGGGCAAAGGTCAGGAGGAGGGAGCATGTAGACAGCTGCCTACTCCACGTTGACGTCTGCTGCCCCTTGAAAATTATGAATTTTTATGAATTAATGAATTTTTTTGTTTGCTTTTGAGATAGGGTCTCACTCTGTCACCCAGGCTACAGTGTGGTGGCATCTTCATACCTCACTGTAACTTCAAACTCCTGGGCTCAAGCAATCTTCCTGCCTTGGCTTCCCAAAGTACTAGAATTACAGGTGTGAACCACTTTGCTTGGCAAAAAAAACAAGGAAACCTTTAATGATTCTTAACTCTGGTTATACATTAACATCAAGTGGAGAGTAAGAACAAACCCACCATCAACAACTAGTGTGAGTTCTACACCTTGCTATTGCAATTTATTTATTTATTTTTTGAGACAGGTCTCACTCTGTTGCCCAGGCTAGAATGCAGTGGTACCGTCATAGCTCACTGTAACCTCTCAGACTCCTGGGCTCAACCTATCCTCCTGCCTAAGCCTCCTGAGTAGCTGGGACTATGGGTGTGTGCCACTATAGCCCCCTAATTTTTCTATTTTTAGTAGAGATGAGGGTCTCACTGTGTTGTTTAGGCTGGTCTTGAACTCCTGGGCTCAAGTGATTCCTCTGCCTTGGCCTCCCAAAGTGCTAGGATTACAGGCATGAGCCACCTTCCCGGGCTCAATATTCTAATTTAATTGCCCTGGGATGGAGGGCAGGTGTTAGTAATTTTGTGAAGTCCCCAAGTGATTTTAATGTGTAGCCAAGATTGAGAGTCACTGACTTAATACCCTCCCACCCATGTGACCCCCATGCCACAATTCTCTATCAATTGTCTTGACACACTGAGATATGGAGATCAGTTGGGAGGGGTGTAGCAAGTAATTTATTAGCAATCATAATTAAAATGCTGATGTCATCAAGGGTTTTCTTTGGGAAAAAATTAGAGTGGATTCAAAGTTATCCCTAAAGCAATATCATGCTCACTTGAATTCTGGGATGATTTCTGGAATGGAGGAAATGGAGCTGGTTCCCTGGAATTGTGCTTGTACTTCATATACCTATGGGAGTGTACTGTGCATGTGATATGACTGGCAGAGGTTGAGAATTCCTGCCCGAAGTGATGTTCTGGAATCAGTCTGTCTCACAGGACAGCTAGAGAGATGATCCCGTGGAACTTCCCACAGACCAGAGTTCCTCACTGGCTGAACACTTCCTGACCCCTGGGTTCCCCACTGAGCACAGGTGATCTCACTGACCTATGGGATTTCCTGCAAACACTTCGTCAGTCTCCAGCGGGTCGCTCACTCCTTCTGAATTGACCGCCAGGATACGGAACTGGTAGGCTTTTCCCTCTTCCACCTTGTTGGTGGAGAAGTCGGTGACTTTGCCATCTACCTCGCCTATCTTGATCCAGGACTTCTTGCCGACTGCCCTCCGTTCCACTATGAACTGTGTCACAGGGCGCCCGCCGTTGTCCTTTGGAGCCTTCCACTTCATGTGCACGCAGCTACCTGAGAGCTCCAGGAACTCCACCTTGCCCTGCGGAGGCTTGGGACGATTTGGGGACAGAGACCAGCTTCAGAATGGGGCTTTGGAGCCAAGGTTCAGAAGGGCCTCCTCCTACTCACTGGAGTTCTGGCCAGGATGGGGCACAGCTGGATCCTGAGCTTTTGGAATCCTTTGCTCTTGCCTGTGTCCATTGCCTCTCCTTCTAAGACTTGCCCAAAGAGTTTGATCCTTGTCCCCCTGAGCCTCCCTCCTGCCTAGGAATGGGTGGCCTGAAGACCGGAGGGGCCCCAGTTTTAGCTGATCCCCCGTCCCCTTCCAGACGAGTTCTCCCCATCTTCTGAGCTTCCAGAACACCAGTGCTTTCTGGTATCACAATTTATGTTATATTATAATTACATATCTGTCTACCAGTTTCCTCCCCTTTGGGTTGAGGAATTGCTGGGGATACTTCATCTCTGCGTCTCCAGCACTGAGAACACAAGAGGAGGTGCTCAGTCATGCTGCTGAACTGAATTGAAATGCAAACCTTCTCACCGCTCAGCTTGATGGAAATGCAGGTGGAGGATTTGGTGACCATGTGTGTATGTTGCATGTTCACTAAGGCCAGCTCCTCATCTCTTTCCTATCCTTATGTTCAGATCAATCCTACATCTCATTCTCACCCCCCATTCCATCTTCCTCTCCTAACTTATTTTATCCCCAGCCTAACTCACCCCACTCCATTTCACTTCCATCCTCACTGCTCTTCCCAATCAACCTCACCTGCATCCCTCGATCCCACCTCTTTTTCACCTTATGTCCAACTATGCCCTCATCTTCAAGTCAATAACAATACTTAAGTAACATATTTGAAGGTCTATTATGTGCTGTGCACTTGACTATGTACTTTAAATTCACTAGAAATAGATACTAGGGGTAAAAAAATCACCCCGTTGGTGGTGAGAAGCTGAGGCTTAGAGAGGTTCCCTTGACCAAGGCCACCTAGTTAGGAAGTTAGGAAGTGAGCTCCTGGTTGCAAAGCCAGCCCTCCAATACCATTCCCAGCCCCAACTCCAACTCCATCCCCAGCCTCTTTCCCAGCCCACCTTCCCCCCTGAGCCTGGGCAGCTGGTGCCCCAGCCCAACCCAGCCCTGCCCTCACCCAGCACATTGAGGTGCAGAGTGGCCGTGGCTGAGCCGTGGTCATTCTTGAGCTTGAGCAGGACAAGGCCTCTGTCCTCACGCACGCACTTTGTGATGGTGAGCAGCGCCTGGTCTTGGCCGCGCTCCATGATCACGCGCTCCTCCTCGGTCACCTCCATGCCGTCTTTGTACCACGTCACTTTGGGCAGCGGTTTTGCCCGGAAAGGCACCTTGATGTGGGCCGTGTGGCCCACCTTCATGGTTACTGGGTGTGCCGCCAGTGCCTCAAGTACGGAAGGGTCGATGGTAGGAGGATCTGCAGGGCGGGGCGGCAGGGAAGGCTCGCGCCTCGAAGGTGGGGGAGGAGCCGATGGGGAAGGGGGAGGAGCCGATGGGGAAAGGGGAGGAGCTATGAGCATGTGGGCGGGCCAGGCGTGGTTGAGCTTTGCCTGCCTTGGGCGGGACCATACCTGTGATGAACAAGGAGGCTTCGCTCTCCGCGCCCTTGGCCCGGAACGTGTACTTGCCCTCGTGCTCCGGGCCTATATTGGGGAAGATGAGCTTGTGCACCGCACCGTGCTTCACGATCTGCACGCCCGGCAAGTCCGTGATCTGAGGGGCCAGGGGCGGGCGTGAGTGCGAGCGTGGGCCAGGTCGACCTCCTACGCCCCCTTCCCGGGCTCCTGCTCCGGACCTCTTTGCCATCTTTCAGCCACACGCCCTCCACCTTCTCATCATTCAGCACTACGCACAACTCGGCCGGGTGGCCGCGTGCACGTCGGACATCCCGCTCTTCACCGTGGGCAGACGCTCTGGGGAGAAAGCGGGCAGGAACGGGTGAGGGTGTTGGGGTGAGGGGAACTCATAGGAAAAGGGCTGGTGGCTTTGCTCGTGGGAACGGTCAGGTGCTGAGTCAATCAAAATAATTTATGATGAACAGGTGGTTTGCCAGTGGTCAGTGGGCGATTGGGGGATGGGGACAAGTAGCAAGTAGATGGGAGGGGGTTGGGGAAAGGTCAGTGGCTTAGGAAGTGGTGGCCAGGAAGACTGGAAGTTGGTTAATGGAGAATTGATTAGTGAACCATGGTCTGTGGGACTTAGGATGATTGGCTGGAGAGGGAAATCTATGGCAGAGATGCAGGTGGTTAGTGGAGTTGGGATGTTTAGTTGTTCTTATGCTCCTCTGGGATGTCCAGGGTCACTGGGCATTAGGGGTAGCCAGGGGCAGTAGAGAATGGTTCTGGTGAGGGAGTAGGAGACGGTTGGGATCAAGAAGTTTGGGATGATCAGGGTTGCTGTGGATGGTTAGAGTCTGAAAGTAAAGAATGAAGTCAGGGGATTTGAGATAGAGTCTGGGAGATAGAGGATGACCAGGGTCTAGTAGGAGGTATGGATGTTCAGCGCATGGTCAGAATTGGGGAGATGGGAGTGGTGGAGTGGAGAGGTACAAATTGGCCATGGTCTGGGGGAGGGTTTGGGTCAGTAGCGGGACAGATCAATGTCCACCTTAGGGGAGTGCAGGATCAGAGGGATTGGTCAGTGGGGATTGACAGGGTGGGTCTTACCATCCACAGTGACGGTGGCAGTACTGTAGTATTCAGTGGGGTCCCCATCCTGCATGGCCACCACAGTGTACTTGCCATTGTCGCTGAGCTGTGCATCCTCAATGATGAGCTCCGCTCGCTTGCCCTCATGGTTCATGCTGTACTTGGTGCCGTGTGCCAGCAGCTGTCCGTCCTTCTTCCAGTGCAGGATCACATCCTTGGATGTCAGCTCACACTCCAGGCATGCGTGGCTCCTCTCTTTCACACGTACATTTTTGAGGGTGCTCACAAACTTGATGGGGATGCCTGTGGACAGACAGACTCTTGGGCCTGCTCCCAAACTACTACATCCTTTTTCTGCAGCCACATGCTGCCCTGCCCCTCTTTTGGGCAGGAATTTGCAATGTTGAATTTGTTTGTGTGCAATATGTGACCCACCAAAGTACCTGACAGGGAGAGTCCCAGCTCTGCCCGTTACTTGGGAGTCGACTGTACACAACTCATTTGCCTGTGTCTCAGTTTCCTCATATGTAAAATGGGGAAAGAACTTTCACAGTGCCTCAGTCAAGATCTCTAACAATCTCTAACAATGCACACCTGCATTGTCTTTCTGGTGTCTGGGCCTCTGGACATGCAGTCACCTTTGGTGGGGATGTTCTCTACTCTCCCCCCTTCTCTGGAAGCTGAACTTTTTGTTCTTGGTAAAGCTCAGACATCACCTCATTATATCATTTCTGTCATTGTCAGCCTTTTTTGGGGGCTCCGACAGTTTCTGTGTCTTTCTCCATCACAGCAATGATGATTCCATGTGACATAGATCCCAGGTGTGGTTTACATGTATGACATGGTCATTGATGTATACTCCATCATGTACAAATCCTTATACTAGTTATAATATCAGAATGTGAGCAGTCAAGAGTGACACAGATGTGCTGTAATATATGATATCAGAACTATAGTTTCTTGGTCCATGATCTTCCAGATGATAGTAAGACCCCAGTGTATCTTGGCTCTTGGAATATGAACTGATTCTTATTTCATTTTTCCATTTGCCTCCGCCACTAAGACTAGAGGTTAACAGAGAGGAGAATACCCTATCTTTCTACTACTCATCATAGGATCTTGCAAAGAAGAGATGGATGGATGGATGGATGGATGATGACTGCCCACATGAGGCCGCTGTGGCATGAAGCCCACCCCTCAGGCTCTTGCCCAACTACTCACGGTCAATGGTGAGCTTGGCCTTCTGTTCCAGATTTCCCACTTGGGCAGAGAACTCGCCGCTGTCACTGAGTCTGGCATCCTTAATCTTAAGTGTATGGGTCAGACCATCCTCAGACACCATGATTTCATACTTGTCATCCCTCTTCAGTTCCTTCCCATTGAACTTCCACACAAAGTTGGGATCTTTCTTAGGCGGACCTCAAACACTGCTGTCTGGCGCTCTGTCACCTTCTGCGGCTTCATATCTCCCAAGAACTTTAGTGGCTCATCTGCACCAGAGAGTAGGAAAGGCAGTCATTGGGCTGCAGCCCTGTGCCCCCTGAAAGGTGGAACAGTGAAGGGGACATGGGGACTCAGGTGTCTTCAGCCTCCAGTAGCCCTTAGTTGGAGGGAAGCACCCTTCCTTTCATTCTGCTTGTGAACCCTTCTCTGGAGTCCCCTCCCATGATGTTCACGTGGTCTCCTCCCTAATAAGGTTAACAGCAATTTAAAAAAGTATTTATGTAGTTTCAGATACATGTGAGGCACTATTCTAGCCAATTTGCACATTTAATTCATCCAATTCTCACATAGGTAGATTCTTCTAGTCCCCATTTTACAGATGGGGAAACTGAGGCAAAGAGAAGTTAAATAACGTGCCCTAAATCACACAGCTCATAAGTGGCAGCAGCTGGAATTTGAACCCCAGTAGTCTAGCTCCAGAGTCTGTGTTCTTAACTACTAGGCTACACTGCCCCATGGCACTTATCTCACAGTCCTCTCTCTTACATTTCATGTTTCATCCCTCTGTGGACACCCATCCCACGCAGTCCTTTCCTGCATAGCCCCACGGTCCTCGCCCTAATATCTCCCTGAACTCCATCCCTGGCCATTCCTCTCCTCTGACCCTGTGCCCCCCGATGCCCACACTCATACCCAGCACTATGAGCTCTGCACTCATCCACTTGTCGCCCACAGACAGGCTGTAGATGCCGGCGTCGCTCATGTTCACGTTGGTAATAACCAGCATGTACTTGGTGCCCACCTGCTTCACATCGTACTTGCCCAGGGAGTACTGGATCCTCAGTGGCTCAGTACCCTGTCTCATGGAACAGGGAGGAAAGCTGATGAGGGGCTTTAGGAGACTTCCAGGGCTCTCCATTCCCCAAAGTCAGCCTGAGCTGGAGGGTACAAGTCCACCTCTCTAAACACACCCAGAGACTGCTACCATTTTTCTAGCCTCATCATGTGGCTTGGTGGGATCCAGACCCTGTCTCCCCACAGGTTCCCTCCAGGCCTAAACTCCTAATGTGCATGAGTTCATTAGATGCTTTTTCTTAGAGACACAGGTCTTCAGGGACCTTCAGGACTATTGAATCTAGCCTTCAGTTTATTTATTTTATTTTATTTTATTTTTATTTTTTTATTCTATGGTATTTTGTTAAAGCCTTCAGTTTAAAGATCGGTAGACTGAGGCATAGACAGGAATGTAACTATCTCAGATCAACCAGCAAAGTAGGGGAACAGCTAAAAATAGAGCCCAGCCCCCAGTCTCTTACAACCATACCAAGGGGTATCTTCTTGATGGGATGGAAGAGAGGCCCTCACATATTGATAACAAGAGGGTGTGAGAAGGGAGTGGGTGCAGAAAGGAAATGATATTGCTGGGGTGGGCCATGGCCAGGCTCTTCCCCACCTTGATCCATATCATCTTGATATTGGGGTCCTTCAGCTCCATGATGCAAAGACCACTGTCGTGTCAACCTTGGTCTCTATATCTTCCAGAGGCTTCAGAATCCTGATGGCCTGAGAGATTGTGATTACAAAATGCCAAGTGTCAGCTGCATCTGGAGCCTCCCTAGCCTGTGTCCCCAATCCTGGAGGAGCCCCTAAGGGCCTGGGGAGAAATAAGTAGAGGTTGCTGTGAGCTAGGCTGACGCCATGGCACTCACTCTAGCCTGGGCAACAAAGTGAGACTCTGTCTCAAAAAAAAAAAAAAAAAAAAAAAAAGAATCAGTTCATATTCCAAGAGCCAAGATACACTGGGGTCTTACTATCATCTGGAAGATCATGGACTAAGAAACTATAGTTCTGATATCATATATTACAGCACATCTGTGTCACCCCATTGATCAGTTGGAAGATTTAGGAGGAGAGCAGTATGACAGGGAATGAGAAAAGAACCACCATTTGTGGAACAGTCACTATATACCTGAGCCATTATATAGATTATTTAATTCCAGTGTAGATGCTTAATGTAAATCGGTTGATTGAATGAGTGACAACAACCCAAAAACAAATGAAAGAGGAAAGTATACTTTTCATTTTGTAGATGAAGAAACTGATGCTCAAGAAGGCCCCAGTTCACACAGCTAATAAGGCAACAGAACTGGGATTTGAATTCAGGACTCTCTAACTCCAAAGTGCACGCAAGTACATCAGGGAGTGGGGATGAGAGGAGAGGTAGAAGCAAGGTGACTTGAGTTCCTTTCTGCCTCTCGCAGTAGAGACTATGCCTCTGAGTATGTGTGTGCAGGGTGGGGGAGACTTGCTACTGGGAGATGTGGAGGCACCAACACTTTTGGGGAGGCCCAGCCCCTGGGCTGCATACCCTTGTTCCCTGCTGGGCACTGACCTCCACCTCCACTTTCTTTTTCATCTCTTTGAGGTTCTTGAGTAGCCCCCGGCAGTCGGTGAAACCATACTCCATGCAGACCTTCTCAAAGTCCTTCTTGGGCACCTTGGACAAAATCTCCAGCATCTCTTTCTCATTTGTCACCTTCTTCTGCTTCTTGGGAGCAGGGGGAGCCCTGGGAGTAGGAGGGAAATAAGCTTATACTCAGAGCCTCTCTCTGAAGACAGAGGAGGCCTTTCCCAACCTTGAGATGCCCCTCCCCACTCCACAGATTCTTGGAACTCAGGGCCCTGTTGAGAGAAGCCTTCAGGAGGCTCCAGCCTGGGTGGGGAGACAGCACCCCCTGCAGAAGGGCCTCCCAGCCTCACCTTTTCTTCAACATCTTTTTGAAATCCATTTTCTCTTGACCTGAGGACAGAGAGAGGGACAGGGTCAGAAAAGGGGGCATCTAGTCCCTAAGAGGGAAGGCCAGGAGGAGGGGGCTGGCTCACCTTCAATCACCATCAGGGACACAGTGTAGATGGCATCTGCATGTTCATTGCTTGCAATGCACTTGTAGTTGTCAGAGTCATCAGAGGTCAGTGGCTCCAGCTGGATCAGGGTCAGGCCATTAGTGGGGGGGGGGAAGGAACCACAGGGAAACTTTCTGTGAGATGGGGAAGGAGGGCTTGTTTATTTTTTTATTTTTTATAAGAGGTGGGGAGGAGGTGAGTGTTGGGTGTACATGTAGAGGATTGAGCAGTCTCTATGATTTGGAGGTGTGAGGTGGCAGTCAGCGTGAGTATGTGTGTTGGTAGCCTGATTCCATGGCAATCGAATTGCTTTCCCATCAGACTCTCCCCCTTGGCTGTGAGCTCCTAGAAGGCAGGGACTTCCTTCCTCAGCCTTGTAACTCTACGTGCAGTTCCTGCCACTGGGCTGAGCTTTTCATTTAACATAATTTACTTCTCTGTCCCAGGCACTGGGCTGAGCCCCAGAGGAAACAGTGGTGAGGAAGGCCGCCTTGGTGTCCCTCTGCATGGTGCTCACAGCCAGAAGCCAAGGTGTCTGCCCTCAGAAAGTGTCTGCAGAATGCATGAGCTTGTGTGAGGGCTGGCCAGTAGGGAGACTCTGGGGCAGCCTGTGTGTGCTGTGGTTGGGGGCGACGGTCCAGTGATGGGTCTTTGGGAGGAGAAGGGACCTGCCTGTGGGGGCCTGGGGTGACTTTGCCTTTCACAACGGGAAGTCAGGGCAGGACCCGAGTAATTACAGGGACAGGAGTCATTATAAGCTTAGGTGTCCCACTGACCCATGCCTCCCTGTCCTCAAAGATCCTGGAGATAGAGGTTGCAGCTGGTAAGATCTAGCTCTCAGAGTGTCCTTGAAGTTAGTTAGACCTAAGGACGATGGGCCCTCAGTGAGCCCTTTCTGGAGGGGTCAGTCGAAGACTCCGGGAACCCTGACCCTCATCCCACCTCTGAGACCAGTCCTTCGTCGCCTCCGGGTGCCGCCCCAACTTGGCCTTGCCCCAGGCACCATGGTCCCGCCCCTTCCTAGCCACGCCCCACCGGCTGGCTCTCTGGTTCCCCTTGGCTCCCTCACCCTTGGGCCCCTTCTCAAACTGCCCCTTTGCTTGCATTTGGCCCAGCCGCCGCCTCGCTCTGGCTTTGCCCTGGCTGTGCCTCGCCCCGCCCATCACTTCGGTCCTCTGCTTTCTGGCGATACCCCGCTCCAGACTCCGCCTCTCTTATCCTGCCGCGCCTCTAGAGCAACGACTGCCTCTTTCCCTAGCGCCCAGTTCTGGGTCGCCGTTGCGGCTGTGGGCGGTGGGAGGACTGGCGGCCCGCCCCGGGGTCCCCTGCCTCCGGCCTCAGCGGTAGCTGGGCCTCCGGCGCGGGTCTCCGCACCTTCAGCACGTGCTCCTTGTTAACGCTGTCGTAGAAGATCTTGGCGGACTCCTTGATGGGGATGCCGCTCTCCCTCTTCCAGGAGACGTTGGGTTTGGGGTTCCCCTGCACCCGGGCTCGGAACACCGCTTTGTCCCCTGCGGTGGGCACAGGACGCATTTCCCCTCTTAGTCACCAGTCTAGACCCTCTCCCCGTCCGCGCCTGCTCTCAGAGACCTGGGCCTGGCCCCGGGCGAGGAGGAGCCCTTGGCCAGGCTCTGCCGGTGTCCGTGTACTGGGGACGTTGGGATGGCAGAGCGGGCTGGGGGATTAGGTTAGAAAGCGAAGCACCGGCCGGGCGCAGGGGCTCACGCCTGTTACCTTAGCACTCCTGGGAGGGTGAGGCGGGCGGGCGGAACTCTCAGGAGTTCGAGACCAGCCTGAGCAAGAGCGAGACACCCCCTCCCCCCGTCTCTACTGAAAATAGAAAGAAATTAGCTGGACAACTAAAAATATATAGAAAAAATTAGCCGGGCATGGCGGCGCATGCCTATATTCCCAGCTACTCGGGAGGCTGAGGCAGGAGGATTGCTTGAGCCCAGGAGTTTGAGGTTGCTGTGAGCTAGGCTGACGCCACGGCACTCACTCTAGCCTGGGCAACAGAGTGAGACTCTGTCTCAAAAGAAAAAGAAAAAGAAAAAAGAAAAGAAAAGAAAGAAAAGAAAAGAAAAGAAAAGAAAAGAAAAGAAAAGAGAAAAAGAAAAGAAAGCAAGAAAGCGAAGCAGCCCCGGGGACCTGGGGGGCCACGGGGAGCGACACACCCTCGGGTGCGGTCATTGGCTGAGGTTTCTCCACGAACTCAGGGACGCTCTCGCCCGCAGGGATGTTGGAACTCCGGGTCACCAAGTTGAAGAGCTCCACTGTGCTCGAGGACTTCCTCGTGGTCGCGACTTCCTCTGTGGGGGCCGGCGAGAGGTCAGCATGGGATCCAGTGGAAGCTCACCCCAGGATTGGAGGACTGAGCTTTTCTTGAGGGGAAGACAGTGGAGCATGGGAACAAATGGAGTTTAAGGAAAGCGGGGGCAGGACCAGCTTGGTCTGAGAAAGGAGGACCTGAGTTGGTGGGTCACCCTGTTATGGCAAACTTCAACCACTAGGGGACGCTAATTCCTTTCCCACACCTCAGCGGTCAATCACTTTTTTGGGGCCATGGCCCTGAAGTCCTAATTTTTTTTTTTTTTTAAAGGAGTCTCCCTTTTTGGGATTTCCTTGGTCTTTGGACTTCTCTCCTGGAAGTTCTGGTTCCCCAGTAGCATGAAGAAGGGCCAGGCCTGCTTTTGCTCTAGATTTCCTCTCTGCCATTCTGTGGGTTCGGCATTCATTGCCTGGGGAGTGGTGATCCTTGAGTGAGGGACAGGACACCGTCCCCCTCCAAGGGGATATTTTTGGGAATCTCCCCATCTAAAACAGCATATCTATTGTGGTGATATAGTTTTACATTTGGAAAACAAAAAAGTGCTTTTGCAGTATAAACTACAAAAAATGGTGAGTTATCAGTTCATAACAACTACTCTGAATCAGGAAGCACTTCCCTGGTGTCAGGAACCATGCTAGGCACATGTCAGAGATGATTTTATTTAATCCTCACTGCATCCCAGTGAAGTAGGGACCTTTATTATCCCCCACTAATCTGAGGGACTGAGATGAAAAACGTATTAAGAAGCTCTCATGGCCTGCTTTTAAATAATGACCAGAGGTCTCAGACAGGCAGTATGCAGGCTGCACCTGGCCTGAAGATGTCTTTTACATGACCTCCACAATATTGAAACAAAAACAGTCCTACCTCTGAAAATGGAAAGATTCCACATAAAAATTCATCTTTCTGGATTCTCAACACTGGACTCATAGTCGCCTATGGCAACAGGCAGTGGGAGGTGAACAGCAGGTGCCCCTTTCATTGGGGCATGTCCTCTTCACTTTCTCCCACATTTCTTCCTGGACCCTGTCGGTCAGTGGTTTTCAACTCTGGCTGCATGTTAGAATCACTGGAGAGCTTTAAAAAAATACCTGATTTAATGGTTTGGTGTGATACTCAGCTATCATCCTTTTTTCACCCCTTTCCTCTCTCCTATCCCCTATACTGCAGTGACTCTGAGAATCACCACTATACATCACTTGTGTTTGCAACTTCTGGTTTAGACCACAGGCTTTGAGTCTCAGCTGTTCCACTTGCTCTGCCTCAGTGGCCAGGAGGGGTTTGTTGGTAGAGTGTTTATCTGGCCTTGACCTCTATGCACAGAGGGCTTTGAGTGACTCTGTCCCTCTGGGACTTTGAGGGAGGGGCTGTGACTGTGAGAAAGGGTATTCAATATCCTGGCCCCTAGCCATCTTTTAATCTCTTTCCACTAGAGACACAACTAAAACAGTCTGCTCTTCTCTGAGACCATTTCTCAGCTTTCCCTTGGATCTGCCCTCCCCCAAGTCTGGCCCCTAGGGGCTAAGAGCCTGGGTGCTTAGGTCACTTGTTTACGAGCCTATCCTCTCTGCACTGGTAGTACCAAGTCTCCTGTTTCTTAAATGGAGCAAGGTCAGCATTACTCACATTTAGATAAGGTGGCTACCTTCCTAACTTCCCCCATGTCTAAAATTCTACCATCAGAGATACAATTCATTTACCTATGGCTCTGATCTTAAACAATTAAGAGTTTATTATTCACACACATCCATGTGATTGATTTTCCTAAGCTGTTTCCTGGAGATCTGATCTGTGGTGAACATTTAGTTGGCTGAAGCTTTATCAAAGCCCAGATTAGCAGCACAGGTTGGGAGGGGGTTGCTGTTGGTATTTTTGGCTTCTGAGGGGCCCATTTGTGGCAAAAACTGAGGCCACACAGCGGGTGGGTGTGAAGGAAGAACGACTGCCCCTTCTCAATCCCTCCCCCATCCCCACTCCACTTGCCTCCCACGATCTTGGTTGTCTGGGAGAAGGTCTGCACGTGGGTGGAGGAGCTAGAGAACTCCATGGACACATGCTCCTGCATCATCTGCTGGTGGTACATGGTTGCCATGGTGACAGCAGGCGTGGGCACTCACCTGTGAGGACCGCGGAGAGGATGAGGCTATGAAGGACAAGGGAGGGAGGAGGAGGGAGATTCAGAGAGGTGTGTGTGGACACAGAAGAGACGGATGTGCACAGGAGAGGGCCTGGAGAGCAGTCAGGCAGCAAGCCTCTTCTCTCCGGCCTCTTCTTCCCTTCCTAGCTCCCTTTCCCTGGCTGATTACAGGAACCAATGGGCCTCTCCCCTCACTGAGTAACTCCAAACCCTTCTATGGTCTGGAGGGAAAGGACACAGGGCTTAGATTTACCCTGCCAACCAAGTAAGGCCCAGGAGGAGTTGAGGATACCTCCTGATAGCTACACGGAACTAGGGAGGCAGTGCTGGATGTTTCATCAGGAGAGAATGAAGTCAGACCCAAGAAGGAACCTCCTGACTAAGCCATAACTGGAGTGGGCCTTACAAGGAAGCTGTGGATCTTCTTCCTGTCTCTGGGGACCACTGGCATTGGTGGAATGCTAAGACAGATGGCAACACATTTCTACAGCTCTGCTTTCATTTGTGACATGGTAAAGGCAGAGGTTTAGTTTTTATCTCACGTTTTTCTTTGAGCTGGCAATTCAATCACATAAGCAGTGAAACATTAAAATCTACATGAAGAGGCTCCCTCCCCCTCCCGAGTCCCCCCATGTCCCAGCCCTCCCTATCGCAATAGCTACACTGGTCTCTGGGCTCCTCCTGGAGTGCCGGCATGCAAATAGGATTACGGAGCATGTTCTTGTCCTCTTCCTTTTGTTTTGACACGTGAGGTAAGCCCGTTACACACACTATCCTACCCTTTTTTCATTTAATACGTCTTGGAGATTTTTCCACCCCAGTTTATAAAGAGTTTCCTCATTCCTGTTAACAGCTGCACAGTGTTTCATCTAATGGATGTATCTGCCAGCCTTTAACCAGCACTGCCATTTTTAAACCCCTATTTAGTATATATAAGGGAACTGATGTCTGAGAGAAAGTCCCTGTCCAAGGTCACTCAGAGCAGACGCCTGGCTTCCTGACTCCAGTCCAGTGGCCTTCCAGAGAGCCCAAAGGCCTTCTTCTGAGCCAGGTGGTTTGGGGCTGAACTTTACCACCCCTCTACTCCCCACATCTCTCTGCCTGGGCCATATCTACCTCCGGGTTCCGGGGCCACGCCCATCCCAGCTCGTGCCCTCCACCCTGTGTCCGAGTCTGGACTCAGAAGGCAGCAGCAGGCTCTGCCCCGTCCAGAGGGAAGAGAGAAGCCTTACCTTCTACACTTACAGGTCCTCCCAACACGAATGTGATGCCCACGGCTCTGGAGTCTCAGCTAGTGCCTGGACTGTAGGGTGGCCGGTCTCCTCCTTCCTTTGTCCTAAAAGTGGGGCCACTGGGAGTCACCCAGGCCTTAAATGTCTGGCCCCCTGGGGGCGATCCCTTACTCAGGCTCTGCAGCTGTCTCAGCTAGATGGCAGACTGCTTTGTGTGTGTAGGAGTAGGAGGGGGGTATGGGAAGTGGGAGAAGGAAGCAAGGCTGGATCCAGAGCTGGAGGAAATGGTGGGGAGGCTGGGGTGGAAGTCCAGGGGTACTTTTCCTATTCCCTTGTGCTAGAGGTTTTGGTTCTCACTACAGCTGGGTGGGACCCCTCTGAGCTGAGGAGTTCAGGGCGTGTGTGAGTGTGCACATGCACACGCTTGGGTACATGTGCACACACAGTCCAGTGGGGCTTAGGGAGCAAGGCAACAGGTGTATATTTTCTAGGGACTGGGAGAGGGAGAGTTGGGGTCGGTTATGACATCTGCTACTTTGCATAAATCCAGGGTGTACCATTCATGTTGCACTTACAGGGCCACCTTGGGGGAGGACAGGAAATGTTAACTCCTTCCCACTCTAACAGCCCAATCTCTCTAATCTGGGTAGTAAGGTACCCAGATCTTCCAGGGGTAGATCTCTTTTTTAGGGTGGCTGGAGAGCATGTCCCCTTTCTCTGAGATGCCCACCCCCTATTCTTTCTTCATTGTCTGTAGCACACCTTGCATGCCTAGATCCTTGACTAGCCAACCCAAGGTTCTAGCATCTTGTAAGGAGCTGTTGGTTGGTCAGCAGCCCTTCCCCAGATGCCCTCCTGCCCTGGGGTGACCCCCATTTGCCAGAAGTGACATCACAGCTACTTTTGCTCCATCTCAGGGGTGCAGAGGATAAGAATAGAGCAGGAGTGTCCAGGATGACTTAGGATCTGAGCCCATGGGCAGATTCCCTGGGACCCTTGGGAGGAGCTATTCTCAGCCCAGGCCTTACAAGGGAAATTTCTGGGCTGCAGCTGCTGTTGGGACCTGTGGAGCTAACATGGGGTAAATGCTGGCTAACAGGGAGAGCCCTGGGTATGACCTGAACACCCCCTTGCCCCAGCCTTGGCCTTTCTGGCCCATCTGTTGGAGCTGGTGGTCTGGAAGATACTTTGCCTTCCCTGGAAGCCTTCCCCACCTGTCCTTGAGGCTCGCCATGGCCCAGAGCATCTGGCCAGGCTGGGGTTGAGGGTGTGTGAGAATCCTGCAGAATGGACTTATTTGGGCTTCTCAAATTTGGACTCACTCCATACTCCCAATATCCACAAGGGGCGCCAGTGAGCACGAGGGCCAGGCTCCTGTGTGCTTGTCTGGGAGAACCCGGAGGCAGGAGTGCAGGGAGAGGAAATCACACACACACACCCAAGAGGTTAGTTTTGCTCAAAATGCTCCGTTTATTGCTCTATTCAATGACCACGAGCGAATTATAAAAAGACACCAAATGTCTCTCTGCCGTGGAATAAATATTTAAAGTCAGCAATAAAAACACGTGGCTCCAAGATAACACACGTTGCCAAAGAGTCATGCATGCCCTGCTGATGGGCTCTCAACGCACACATGGACATGGGAACACACGTGGAGCGACACGCAGCGAGACTTCTGGGAAGGCTTTCCCATGGTGACACACAGAAACGTCTCACACAGATCTGGGGCTGAGTCCCCACCCCTTCCCCGGAGCTCCCCTCCCCTCCCCCAACCAGGGCCCAGATCCTCTGGGTTCCCCACCCCCATCTGTCCCCTTCCTTCCCAATGCCTCACTAGCTGGTCATTGCCTCCTGGGGGCACCTGACACCCAGAGGCCACCCTGGCTGTGATGCCCACCCCAACCCAGAGACCTCTCCCCCAGCTGAGAGCTCTCTGCCAACCCCTCAGGAGCTCCCCATGCCTGGCCTCCAGGTCCTCAGCACCCACCCGTTCCTGGTCCAAATAACTGGGGGCCAAATGTACTCTGCCTGTCGGGAGAAGTAGGGGTGGGGGCCTGAGGCAGGCACATCCGCCTGGCTGCTCGGGAGCTGGAGCTCATTACCCCTTTCCCGGGCCGAGGAGACACAGTGTCCGGTACAGACAGCAGAGATGGATGGACGGACGAACACGCTGCAGCAAGACGCCTGGAGTGTGGCACGGAAACGTTTTGGATCAAGTAGCGATGGAACCATCATTAAAAACTGAGGCCCCAGGTCTGCGTGTTGTAGGTCAGGCCCTGGGGCCCCAGGCCTGGCCTGGCACGTCCCCCCTCCCCCCACTCCCCAGTATGTACAGGAGGAAGAGCTATGCTGGAGGGCAGGGGCCAGGCCCAGGTTAACACAGGAGGCGGGAGCAGACAGGAGGGAAGGAAGCAGGAGGGGGTGAGGGCAGGGAGCAGGCCCAGGACCTGAGGTAGGGCCCTGGGAGGCCAGGGTGAACGCCCCACTTAGGCTGGGCAGTGCCCAGAGGACCTCAGAGGGGGAGCTTGGTCACTCTGGGGATTGGTGGGACAGCTGCTTCTCGTAGAGGCTCATGACGTGGTGCACAAACTGGTACTGCTCGCATGTCTGGATCATGCCGCCCCTGCTGGGCAGAGATGTGTGACAGGGACGGATGTGCTCATTGAGGGATGGGCTGTGAGAGGTTGCCCAAAACCCATGCAGCGCCCATCATTTTTGAGGCACACTAGGGGTCCTGTCCTTGTGCAGCTTGGAGAGACCAACCCTTGCCAGCCATTGCCTTCTGCCCCTTCCTGTTGGGGACACAGATGACATGTCCCTCCACTTTCAGTCCCTGTCCTTCTGTCCACCAGCTCTGTTTCTCTTCCTTCTTCATCCAGCCCCAAATGTCTGGGTACTGCCCCTCCTCCCAGCTGTCCTCCCTACTCCTTGTCTGCCCGCCAGTCCATACCCAGTGTCCATCTGCCCCTCATCCCCATGCACACACTGGTCTCTCCCTGCTGCCCCCAGAGCTCTAGCTCCCCCGTGGGCCCCACCCCTGCCCGTGGGCTGACCTGTCCTGACGGAGCTGGCACGTGGTCTTCAGGATGTCCACCACGCCCTCATGCCGCAGCTGCTGGCAGCAGATGCTGGTGGCAATGAAGCAGCCGGTCCTCCCGATCCCTGCACTGAGGGCCGAGGGGATGGGTGGGGTGAGGGGCAGGGCGGCCCAGCGGGTGGGGGGCTGCCCTGCTGCAGTGGCTGGCTGGGAGGACCCACCTGCAGTGGACGACGATGGGGGCACAGTGGGGCCCCTCCTGCTGGGCTGCCTCCTCCACCTCCCGCACCAGGTGCAGGAGTGGGGGGGCCCGGTCTGGGGTCTTCTGGTCAGGCCAGGATGTGAACCAGTAATGCTTCAGGCCTCGCTCTTCAGTCCCACTCTGTCGAGGAGACAGAGGCCCACCCCAGATACGTGTGAACTCTGTCAGCCCACAAACCAGCCCAGATGGGATGGCATGGGAGGAGGATGGACACAGGAAGGACAGAGAGTGGGACCCTGTACCCATCCCACCTAGGCCATACTACCCAGTGGCACCCAACAGAGACCCAAAGTCAGCCTGGTAGTCAGGGCTGGTTGGTGACACCAGCATTAGTCTTCTCTTTGTTTCTGCTCCAACAATTCCAGGATCATCCGAGAGAGGGCAAAAGCCCCTTCCCCAATTAATTGCTGTCTCCAGAGTTCCTTATCTTAACAAATGGCCAGTTGTCCCTTAGTGACATAACCCAGGGCCCCGGGACTCTCCCTCTCACCTTGCTATGCTTTGCCTGCCCAATCCCACCTCCATCCACATTAAGTGCTGCCAGTTTTACTGCCTCTTCATGTCCCCACCCTACTAACATCTCCACTTTGACCTTTATCATTGTTCCAGTGCGTGCGACGTCTCCCTCATCCCTGCCTGCTCCAGATCCAGAGTCGACATGATCTGTCCACAACACAAATCTGGACATGCTGCTCTCCTGCTCCGAACCCTTGCTACGGACTGAATGTTTGTGTATTCCTAAATTCATATGTTGAAACCAAATCCCTGACATCATGGTATCTGAAGGTGGGGCCTTTGGGAGGTGATAAGGTCACGAGAGTGGAGCCCTCATGGATGGGACGAGTGCCCTTATAAAAGAGGCCCCAGAGAACTTCCTCGTCTTTTCTGCCAGGAGAGGACAGGAACCAGGAAGTGTGCCCTCGCCAGAACCTGACTGTGCTGGTGCCTTGATCTTGGACTTCCAGTCTCCAGAACAGTGAGAATTAAATCTGTTGTTCGTAAGCCACCCAGTCTATGGTATTTTGTTACAGCACCTGAACATACTACAGTACTTTTTGATGGCTCTCATTGCACCCAAATAAAACTCACTCTCCTTAGTCCTTAGCCTGGCAAAGATGACACCCAGCACAGGGTCTATGCTTTCAGGCATATCTCTTGCCCTGCACACTTGTACTTAATGTTCCTAGACTTCAAAAGGTTTGTATATAAAGTGTCAAGAGCATGTGCACACAACTGTTCCATCTTCCATGCCCTTACTTTTACTTTTTTCTCTTTTGGGAACGCTCTCCCCACTTGTTTGCTGCTGGTCAACTTTTCCTCATTCTTTAAGACCTCAATCAGCAGCACCACTTCCAGGAAGCCCTCGCTGAGCATGCTGGCTGGCAGAGTGTCCTTCTGTATGCTTACCTAGCCCTCACTCAGTATTTACCATCTCATGGGCACTTCTTGAAGAGAGTCCAGGTTTTGGACAGCTCTGTATTCCCAGTCCCCAACTCAGAACCAAGGCCAGGCCGGGTACTTGTGATGGTTTATAGACAAAAGTAAATACCCTCAAACCCCAAGATGTCCTGTTTTTTTCCCCAAACATCTCCATGGCATTGAGAAGATGAGCAGCCCACGCCTCATCTCAGCTTCTCTTTCTGGGTGATTTCTACTTAGGAAGCCCGTTCCTTGGCTCCTTGGGTTACCTGACTGTAACACAGACCACAGCCTTGCTCCCTGGCCCTTCCTGTCTTCCAGCAAGACCTGTATCTCCAAGCTGCCCAGGTGGGGAGTGCCCTCAGTGGCTGAGGTGTCCCCTGTGTCCTACCAAGCAGGCTATCTAGGGAAAGAACAGCTCAGAGGGACAAGTCTCAGGCCTTGAGCCCATTCTCTGTGGCTGCACACTACAGCTGTCAGCATCAGTGAACTTCTCTGGCTGTTTCTGGACAGGGCGTCAGCTTCCTGGTGCCTGGCTCACCTCTTGCAAGCCTTCCAGGTTATTACTGTGGGCTCTACCTTCCCCAAATATGGGTCTTATCATTTCTCAAAAACAGAACCCACTCATCCCGATTCAAAGGAACAGTCTCCTCTCTTATGTTGATCCTGAAAGAAGCACAACTTCAGGGTGGGAGGATACCTTCCCCCACTTTTCTGAGCTGTTTTGTATTGCTCATATTTTATACATCTTCCTTTTTCTTGCCATTTTCTGTAACCACTGCCTCCCTGTGCAACCCTAAAGCAGCAAGGAGTGCCTGCTCTCTGGTGGACAGATTGGTCACTACAGGCCAGAAACCCAGCACTCCAGGTGAAGCGATGTTTCTAGGCAGATCTCAAAGTTATAATGAACCCTCGGTTTTAAGGACAGTTCTGGAAGCTGGTAAAGTCCCCTCACCCAGAGAGTCCTGGCCTTGGGTACATTTGAAGCAGAGGTAGACGGCATTATGAATGACAACATTAAATGCAACTGAGGTTTGGGAAATATAATGGGTTTGGTCCCTGCTTGTCCGTAAAAGCTGGGCATTACACAGGCCTGTATTTCAGCCACAGTGGACTGTGGGGCCCTGTTCTCTGTGAAGTCCCCAGTTACGCCCCTATACTCCATCTTCTCAGCCCAGCCCCAGGTCTCACCTTGAGGGAGATGAGTCGCAGCCGGTAATCCTCAGTGTGAATGACTTTCTGCACAGTGATCTCAACACCGTCGTACACCACCTGCTCCTCTGGCCAGTACTCGGTGCATTTCTGCAGGGGCCCAGATCAGGCTGCGATGCAACCCTATTCCCTTCCCAACGCCCCTCCAGAGCCCGTGGAGAGAGACACAAGGGCAGGGGGTTTGCTGCTACAGAGTGTTGGGTTCAAACCTCAGCTTCATAACCTATAAGCTACTTCCCTTTTCTGAGCCTCAGTTTCCTCATCTGGAAAATAAATGGAAGTCATGCCCATTTTGAAGAACTTTTATAAGGATTCAAATTAATGGGCTACGATGGGTACAGAGGCAGCCATCATCAGTCCTGGCAGGCTGGGAGGCAGCAGAGTGTCATGTTTAAGGTATTGGGCACTGGAGGTGGAGAGGCCAGCTCCAGGCTCGGCTGCTGTCTGTGTGGCCCTGAGCAAATGACTTAACCTCATCGAGCCTCCCGTTTCCTCATCTTGGTAGTGAATGCTGCCAACTTCACAAGATCATCGTCAAGGATTAATATGCAAATGAGATGCTCAGTGTAGGGCACAAAGCTGGTCCCTACCTCATTCATCTCCTCGATGTTGGTGATCATGACGATGATGGGCGTGTGCTCCTGCCACACCATGCGCCAGAAGTCGGCCACCGTGCTGACGATGGGTCCCTGAGTGGCGATGTACACCTTCTCCTCCCCACCGTAGCCCTGCGGCCAGCCAAGTCCAGGCTGTCAGGGTCAGAGGCAGCGCTCCTTGGGCCCAGCCCCCACACTCCAGGCTCCTCCCAGGGGCTGGCAGGAGGCAGATTGGCTTGGGGACAAGGTTGGAAGATGGGTCCCCTCAACTCAGGCCTCCCCTTCGGTGGGAGGCCATCGGGATGGGGATACATACCCGGATGTAGTTGGCGTTGATGTAGGAACTCAGAGGGTCATCAGGGTCTGGTGAGATCAGACACACTCTGCTGTGAGGGTCTGGGGTGGGGGGAGACAGGTGAGGCTGGAAGCTGGGCCCTCTTGTGCAGGGCCCACCTTCTGTGGCCCACTCCTGGGCACCCACATTTCTTCTGAGACTTTGGTAGTTCTTCCTTCCCTTGCTCCGCAGCAAAACATTGACCCACCCGTGGTCCATTCGGACAGGGTGGACCAAGGACGAAGAGTAGAGTAGAGAGAGAACGATGCCCTGGGTCACTACATCTGTAGTTCCAATGCCTACCCGTTGCCTGTGCCCCTTTGGCTGCCCTGTACTTACTGTGTCTTCTGTTCTGAGAGAAGGAAGCTAAGTCAAGAAAGGAATCACCTAGCGTGCAGATCCTGGACAGCAGGAGGCTGCTAGAGTTTGAGCACACACTGTCACTGGCTTCTATGTAAGCTTGTAAAATTCATGGCCTTTCAAAGCCTCAGTTTTTCTACCTATAAAATGAGGGCAAAGATGCCTACTTTCTTGGGCTATTGGGAAGAAAAATGAGAAAACAGATGTGAAAGTGTTATATAAACTGTAAAATGCTTTAAAAAAATATAAAGAGCTGTTAACATTTGAGAGTATGGCTGGGTGTGGTGGCTCATGTTTATAATCCCAGCACTTTGGGAGGTCAGGCAGGAGGGCACGCACAAGGCAGGAGGAGTGCGTGAAGCAAGGAGTTTGAGACCAGCTTGGGCATCACAGAGAAACCCTGTCTCTACAAAAAATAAGAACAAAAAAATAGCCAGTTGTGGTGGTATACACCTATAGTCCCAGCTACTCAGGAGGCTGAGGCAGGAGGATCGCTTGAGCCCAAGAATTTGAGGCTGCAGTGAGCTGTGATCACACCACTACACTCCAGCCTGGGTAACAGAGTGAGACCCTGTCTCTTAAAACAAACAAACAAACAAACAAACAAACAAACAAACAAACAAACAAACAAAAAACAAACAAAACATTTGGGGGGTAGAAAGCTGAGGAAGACTACTGGGATAAAAAGGGTGAAGTCTCCCACATCTGGAATGAGACTGTAGGGTCTTAGCTGTGTGGGCACATGTACACAAAGATTTTTTTTCCAATCTATTTACACATCAAATCCCACAGTTACAGATTCCCGTAACATCCTGCTCTTCCTAGAGTAGATTTTGTTTTGTTCCAGCTAGAGCCTCCGTGTATTGACTTTTCTGTCAGCCAGCTGAGGATGAGACTGAGATGGGGAGGTATGGGGGTAGACAGGAAGCTGGCTGGGTTCTGGGTTCTGGTCCTGGGTTCTGCTCTAGCTTTGTCACCAGCCTACTGTTTTATCTCTCGCTAGGACTCAGTTTCTCTCCTATAATAGGGAAGGCCGAATTAAAGGCACTTCCAACATGCACATCATGGGGCTCTCAAAAGGCAGTACAGGGGAGTCATTAAGAGTCTACACCAGAGAGCCTGGGTTTAAATCCTGATGTATGACTTAACTAGCAGTGTCCAATATGGGCAATTTACTTAACCTCCTTGTGTCTTACCTATAAATTGGAGATATTCCTTCCACAATGACCTCACTTATTTTGTAAAGGTAAAAGGAGTTAACAAGTAGAGCCTTTAGTCATTCAGTTAGAGTAGCATATGGTAAATACTAAGTTGCAGGCGGTTGCTGTTATTATTGCTATTATTACAAGGTTCACTATAAGTTAACGGATAGAAAGAAGGATCCCAAACTTGGGAGGTGAAACAGAAAAGGTGATGTGCCCAAGCCTCTCCTCTCTAGACCTTTTCTTGCCCCAGCCCCACTGCCTGACGTTTTGGCAGGTGACTTGGGAGGTCACCTGGGAGGTGGGGCAGTTCTTTTAAAAGAGGGGCACAGCAGGTGGCAGGGATGGAGAGGAGTGAGGATAAGTGGAAGGGGGTGCTTCTGGGTGACCGGCAGCAGAGAGAATCAGAAGCTCTGCCTGGGCCACCTCCCTTCTCCTTGTCTGCAGGGAATACTGTGCTTTGAGATTCCAGTGCACAGGACAAGGGGGCGACTGGTGCGAGCTGAGGAAAGGAACCCGATGACAAAGGGTCTCATAAGCCTTGGTTAGAGAGCTGGACCTAAACAAGAGGATTATAAGGGTGACAATGACAGTGTTTAAGGAAGAGAATGACACGATTAGGATTTCTGTTTTGCATCATTTTGGTGGCAAGGGTAGAAGATGGACAGGGGAGGAGGATATGGAAGTCAGGAGACCAGGTAGGACATTACCGCAATGATCTAAGTAAGAAGTGTCAAGGATCACAGGGCTGCCACGCCTGGCTCGATGCCAGGGGCTTTACATCAGTGTAGTCTGTGTAAATGGTGTCCCCTGGAATTGGGGAACATGAAAGCCCTACCCCCCAAAAGTCATTTGGCAGTGAGGATGGAGAAGAGGAGCTAGCCCTGGGAGATATTCACGCATTCATTCAAACAGGTGCAAAATGTCTACTGTGTGCCAGGCACTGTTTTAGTGCTTGGGATACAGTGGGGAGAGGGACAGAAATTGCTCCTCTGCATCTTGTCCCCCGTGCTGCCTGCTGTGCTACTGGTCACTCTGACTATGACTGTGCAGGGGCCTGTCTCTCCCAATGGACTGGGAGCTTTTTGTGCACACAGTCTGTGTCTTGTTCACATTGAAATTCTCAGACCTAGAGGCAGGAGCTGAGGAAATGTGTGCCTAGCAAACGAGAGAACAAACCTCAGGGTGTCCCCTGCCAAACCTGACCTGCCCTCTGCCCCCAACCCAGACTCATAGAGGGTGCAGGGTCAATTCCTGCTAAGCACACACAAGATTCTCTGTTGGGCTTTGGGGCCTGAAAGCTCTAAGCATGGCTGGAGGTGGCTTGAGCCTCTTAGCAATCTGGTGGGGACCGCAAAGAATCAAAGCCTGCTCCCACCTCTCCCAGTGGCTGCTCTGAGCAGCCAGCAAAGCCATGGGTTCTGGGTCCTCTAGCCCCGTGCTCTGGGTAGGGCTGGGAAGGGGAAGGCAAGATGAGGGAAGAGGTGAGCATCCCTGAATAATGCATCCTGGCCTTAAATGGCGCTTTGTTTAACCGGAACTACCTAGACACTCTGTAACCATAGCAACTACAAGTCGCTATTTTAAAAGTTAAAAATAAGTCATGACATCTTACATGTTGTTGGAGATGCTGATGGCAAAACTGCTTTTTTAAAGCCTTGCTACTCCACCAACTGAGTGGAGTAGGTTTGTGGGGATTCACTTTCAACAAGTCACCCCCAAGCTAGCCCTGGGGTCTGGGGCCAGAATTTGGCAGGGGTGGCAGGCAGACAAAGGCTTGATAAAAGTCACCTGAAAATGACACCCCAGGGCTGAAACAGGAACATCAAGTCACCTGGTCTAACTGCCTCCAAAGAAAGAAAATCCCTCTGAGACCTTCTGAGGGGATTGCTCCTGTAGCCTTACTTGAACACACCGAATGATGGGAAGCTCACTATCTGACAGAGGCAGCTCATTCTCCCATGGGGTGGATCTATCTGTTAGAGGACTTACAATGTAGACAAAGAGCCTGATTCTGGGGTCACAGAGGCCCCGGTTTGAAATCCAGCTCTGTACTTCCCAGCTGTGTGACTGTGGGTGAGCCATTTAACCTCTCTGGGCTTCAATTTCCTCTCCTTAGTATCTATTTGCCCACTCTGAAGAGATAAAGGATGTGAAACAACTTTCCTTCACAGTGGCTAGGAGCTGCTGTTATCATCGCCCTTTCTGTCTGGGTTTCTGTGGAGCCCAGCACAACACCTGGCCAGGCAGGGCACAGGTCCAGAGTGCTGTGTGAGGGAAGGCACTAGGCTCTGCTCTCACAGGTTGGGAACCCCCCAGCTCTTCACTGGTCGCCTCCCAGCTCTCCATCCCTTCTCCTCCAGTGGTGACTGTCCTGTCACCTCTGGAGGCCCAGTTCTGAGGTCTTCTTCAAGGGGAGGGGCACCCAGGTGAAGGTGAGCCGGCCCCCACGTCCCTGGGACAGCGAGTACTTACTGGGAAGTATGGTTTTGTACCGGTTCTTCCGCACCAGCCCAGGGATGTCGTACTCTTTTGGATCCACAAAGTTCATGGGGATTTCCTGCAGGAGGAGGACACGGGGGAGTGAGCACCTATGGGCTGGCCCTCACAGACATTCAGTTCCAGGGGCTGGCTTGAGTGCATGCATTCGTTCAACAGTTACTCTTAAATGAGTTAGTGTACATAAAGCATTTAGAACAGTGCCTGGCACATGCTGAGTGCATAATAAATGTTATCATGACTACTGCTTATTGAAGGCCAGCCTGGCATATAGTAGACACTCAATAAATGGTTGATGAATGAAGAACAAGACAAAAAGCGACCTGGTCAATGGCTGCCATTCCTGCTCTGGGCATCCCTACCTTGGGAGCTTGGTTCGTGCTGCTTGCTCTGTGGTAACACCGCCCCATCCTCATCTCCTCGGGTCCCACCACCTCCCCTGAGAAGCCTTCCCTGATTCTCCAGCAGGAAATTGAAGCCTCCTTCTGAGTCTCCAGATGTGCACCCTCCAATCACTCTGTGTCAAGAGCTCTTAGTGGGCACTTCTCTCCTGGCATATGAGGTCTTCTTGGATCTGGCCTGTCTTTACTTCCAGCTGTGCCTGTCTCTTCTCTGTTGCTGATCTGCCATTCTCTGTCCTGCCTCCAGTTCTGAGCTGATGGCGTTCCACTTGCTGGGACCACTGGTCCGCTCCTTCATTCCTGCAAATTGTGCCTACCCTTCAAGGGTCACCCTTGACTCTGTGTCTTCCCAATGGCCTCTGGGGTAACTCCCCCATGCCTCTTGCCTCTGCACTCCCTTCCGATCTGTCCGCATAGTTTAGCACCTGTCTGCACCTAGTTTCATACTTCTGTTGTTTTGCGGCACACTAAGTGTGGACTTTGTGTAATGAAGTTTGTAACACCTCTGAGGGTGGTTGTGAGAATCAAAGAAAAAACCAACACGTGCAAAACTGCCCCTGCAATGGGTGCACAGGCCACGTTCCTTCCTCTCTGGCAAAATCAACAATGATCCACCGAACAGGAAATGACGTTAGGACGTAAGTTCTTTCTTCAAGGGGAGATGATGGTGGTGGGAACGCAGCAGGAGATGAGGCTGGGGAGGCTGAGGAAGGCTTTCTGGAGGCATCCAGGGTGGGGGAGGAGACAGGCACAGGTGGGGCTCGCCTAGTTTGCAGGGGTAGGGGATGGGGCGGACCACTGGCAAAGGAGGCCGGGGCTGCACCAGCTCAGGTGAGGGGGGCCAACTGCCTATCCAAACGGTGCTGGGTTCTGGGAACATCGGCACGGAGGTCTTCCCAGGGGGGAGAGCCTTCTGGTCCAGGTACGGAGCAGGGTGGGCAGGGGCAAGAGGCCAGAAGAAAGGAGATGTGAGGGAGGCACACTCTTCCCCACCCCTCTGGCTTCTACCAGGAGGAATTTTCTCCCAGTACTCACAGCCTCTTCCCCATTCCTGCCCACAGAGGTGGGCAATTGCCATCGATAGGTAAGTTTGATTGAGGAAATGGGATCTGGGGCCTCAGTCCCTTCCTTCCTCCTCCTCTGGGGGTGGGGTTGGGAGGGGGCCCTCCTGTCAAGAAAGAATTACAGGGATGCCCCTGTGGGGCAAGGCTGGAGATGTACCGGCACCACCTGTGGTGGGTGGAAAGTTTGTTCAATTCTGGGGCTCATTATGAGGAAGCTCACTCTTGCGACATATTGCTAAGCTCATTTTGAATTTCACTGGCAATAGAGGCGATACTGTGATCTCCTACGTCTTAGCTCTTCATTGGTTGAGCCCTAAAGGCAGGTAAACAGGGGTGTCATTTACTGGGCCCCTAAAAACCCAACAGGAGGCAGCAGGAGGCTGTGGCAGAGGCAGACGGGAGGTGATCAGGATCCAAGCTAGAGCCCCAGGGGTGGGAAGGAGGGGAGATGACTGAAGAGGTTTCAAAGGCGGATGAACAATGCTTGGCAGGAGGAGGATGAGACAATAGGAGAGTCAGAAGAGAAGGCTTTCTATGGCTTTCAAAGCACAGTAGCGGGTGATAAAGACTTAGAAATGCCACTGCATAGCAATCACGCTGCTAGGTGTGTTGCATACGTTATCAATCTTTTTAATCCTTGCAACGACCATATTATTTTCATCCCCATTTTCCAGATAAGGAAACTGAGGCTCAGAGAGGAAGGAGCTTGCCCACGATGGTGGGAGAGCTGATAATGAAGTGATGTTAGTCTACTGAAGGTGCTGAGTTTTAGGCCCCATGCCCCACTGCCTGGCTAGGTGGGTGGCTACCATGAGTAGAAAGGCCCATCCAGAGGGAGGTAGCCAGCTCAGGGGGACTCACAAAGAATTCTGCCTGCAGCAGGAAAGGGTCGAGGGCCTTTTCGTGAAGCTCTTCGGCTTGGAGGACGCGGGAGGCGCTGAGCAGGTATTCGCGGGCTGACTCCTCACGTGGAGACATGAGGTAGCCAAAGCCCTCCTCGTTGCAGCCCGGGGTGCACATGTCCAGGGTCAGGGAGACGTTGGAGCCTCTCCTGGAAGGACCAGGAAAGGGGGAGTAAGTTTCAGGTGCCAAGAGGGGCACTGGCTGGGGGCCTTGAGGGTGGGAAGATGGAGGGCAAGAGCAGGTGAGAACAGGGTGGGCTCGAGGAAGAGGAGTGGGAGTGTGACAAGACCCCCATCAAAAATGTAGGAATCTCAGCTTTGAGGTGTAGGCCTGACTCTGTCTCCTTCCTCCTACAGTGCAGCAATTGGGTTGGGGGTTTGGGGTCCAAAAGTTCTATCCCCAACAACCCCAGCATCCCAACATGGCCCTCCTCTGGCCTTTCCTCTGTCACTGCTGGAGGCAGTTCCTCCCTGTGGTCCACAGGTGGATTATACAGAAAGGGAAACTGAGTCACCATGAGAAGGTAAGAATTGCCTAGGCTCTCACAGTAAGGGGGTGACACAGCAGAAACAAAAAGCTCAGTTTTCTGACTCCTCATACAGCGTTCTTTCCATGATATTGTGTAGGGAATTCAAATCTGGTGTGATCTGGCTTACCTATCTAGGCTCTGAAAAGAGGGTGTCTATACCCTAAGTGTGCTCTGTGGAACACTATGAGCACTCTATTTTTTTTTGTTTTTGAGAGAGTCTCGCTTTGTTGCTCAGGCTAGAGTGAGTGCCGTGGCGTCAGCCTAGCTCACAGCAACCTCAACCTCCTGGGCTCAAGCAATCCTGGTGCCTTAGCCTCCTGAGTAGCTGGGACTACAGGCATGCATCACCATGCCCGGCTAATTTCTTCTATATGTATTAGTTGGCCAATTAATTTCTTTCTATTTATAGTAGAGACGGGGTCTTGCTCTTGCTCAGGCTGGTTTTGAACTCCTGACCTCGAGCAATCCACCCGCCTCGGCCTCTCAGAGTGCTAGGATTACAGGTGTGAGCCACCTCGCCCGGCCACTATGAGCACTCTATATGGACGATTCTGTACTCAAGTGACTTTGGGAAATGCCATATACTGCACTCCTGCTGATTTACATGAACACACGCATGTTAAAGGCCACGACAAGTCCTGCAGTAAAGAGACCTACTCTTGACTGCACAAAAGTGTGTGAGTGTGAATGTGTATATACCTGGGTATGCCTATGTGGGCATGTGCAGTAACGGTATTTCTCAGCATTCATGTCAGGATACTTTAACCCACACGAATGACCTCGAGAACACGTGTCTACACTGGCTAAGCCAGGAGGCCAGCTTTGTCCTAGGCCCTAGATATCAGAGTCAGGCATCCACCCATCTGATGGAGAGCTGCGCGCTTGAGGGCCCATAAAGCCCGCCCCCCTCCACCCCTCCCACCTCTCCTGCAGACCCATGGACTTGACGGTCAGAGAGGCGGGGTCAGCCTCAGGCTTGATATCCATCACGCAGTCAAACACGGGAGTCTCAGGCACTGGATCCAGGTCCAAGAAGTCATCCTCGACCTTCTCCTCCATCCACTCCGAGTAGGTGAAGGAGGGCTGGCGGCTCACTGACTGGCGCCTGTCCTCAGGGGGCAGTGGGGTGGGTGGCTCTGGGGCGGTCCTCAGGAGGTGCCAAACCTGATTGGGGGTATATGGCATCATGGACCTGGGACCATACTAGCTGCCTCCTGGGTTCCTGGGGTGCCCATGGGATTGAGTCCTTGGCCCCTCTATGTGTCTAGAGTGGCCCTGCTCTCCTGGAGTTGTCTACATGGCACAACCTTCACCTAGATGACAGCTTCCACCCCCCATTCTCCCTCCCTGCCCCTCTCTCCCAACCCTCTATTACTAGTGGATTCAGCCCTTCCTGGTGGCGCCTGGAGGTTCCTACACCAGTCTTCTCCCTGCCTCAGCCCCTTTCCCCAGCCCAGATTCCTGCAAACCAATTTTCAGAAAGAACGAGCCTCTCACTCCAGACTGGGCACACTGGTGGGAGGAGACAGAGACCCATCCTCGTCCTACCCGGCATGTCTAGCCTGTGGGTGGGGTGGGAGTGGTGGGGATCAGGGGCGCAGGGTCACAGGAAGTGAGTACCGAGGCTGGGTCAGGAGGTGCCTTACCAGGGTGGTGCCGAGGACCAGGCCCACAGACAGAGAGACCAGCAGCAGACTGGGGACTCCCCAGGTCCCAGCGTCCAGCCAGGCCTGGGGGACAGCAGAAAAACAGGTAAGCGTGGTGGCCAGGGCAGTGTTCTCATCTATTTCAGCAGTGACAAAACTTAGGCTCTGAAAACTGCGTCCCAGGTTGGGGGAGGGGAGCAGGCAGAAGCACTTCGGGGGTTCAGGAAAGGTGGGATTGGAGGGCCCTGCCAGATCCCTTCCACCCTGGGGCTCCCTGCAGTGTACTCACCGTGGGTCCCAGCTGTTTCAGAAGTGTCAACAAGGAGGAGATGAGGTCCGTGGCATTCTGTGACCAGATGTGGCCATAGCCGCTGAACCAGAGCACCCCGCAGGCAAGCTGGGGCAGCCGGGGGAGTGGACTGGGTTCAGAGCCCAGCTCTCGCCCCCATATTCCCCTGCTGAGCTCAGCTCCAGCCTCAAAGGGGCTCCTCCTGGAGTCCCCTGAACCTCTGAGGTCCAGACTGGGCAGCTGACGGAAGGGCCCAGGCGCCGTGTGCCCAGAGGCGGCCTCAGGACTCTCCCTGGACAAAAGCTGACCGAAGGAAGCCAAGAGAAAGCCCTTCCCAGAGGGGACCCCTCAGGTCGGACATGGAAAGGGAAGTCTCCCCGAAAGGCCTCCACAGACAGGAGTCCTCGGAGAGAACCCTGCAGGAGTGGGGGGCCAGGGGAGGGGGCTGTGCTCCTGATTCTGGGGTTCGGGAGGGCGAGTGTGAGGGCTTAGCTCGGAATTCCAGCCTCCCCGCGCACCAGCCTGGAGTCCCTGAGGGACGCCAAGGAGGCCCCTCATCCCTCCGCCCCCAGGCGGCCATCTTGGGGAGGAAGTGGAGGCTGCCCCTCCGCCCGCCTCCTCCAGGCCCTCGCGAGGCCTGCGACATCCTTACCAGGAGCTGTGAGGCTGCAAACAGGCACAGGCTGCTCCTGACGGTGAGGGAGTGGCTGCCGGCGCCTCGAGGTGGTGGCTTCTGAGCTGGCTCTGAGGGCAGCGAGGGAGGAGGGGGCGGTGGCATCTCTCTCTGCGAGTCTGGGAGCCCTTCGGCCTCGTCCAGCGCCTCCATCACTACCGGCTGGGGGAGACCTGCAGAAGGCGGGCATGCGGCCGGTGACTCCGGCCCCTTCCGCGCACAGGGCTCTGCGACCCGCGCTGGGCCGCTGCTTTTGGGGTTGCTGTGGCTGCCTCTCAATCCGGGATCAGTCAGCGTGGCTCCACTTCCAGCAGTCACCCTCGATTAGCAAAGCAATATTCACCTACCTTCGTCAGAAAGAGCTAAGTGTGGGTGGACAAATTATTTCTCTTTTATTTCTCCAGTAACAGAGTTAAAATGGCAGGAGGTTTTTCAGGGAGTTAATATCGTTGTATTTACGCAGTTTCATTCTTTTCCATTTCTTAAGGAAATAAAAAACAACCACCTCAAACCCAATTAAAAAAGAAAAAGAAGAAGAAGAAGAAGAAAAAAGACACGGCATAACCAGGACGTGACCCTGAACAACTGGCCCACGCCCGCCCTCCGGATTTTTGTCTCTCGGGATCTGTGCCCTGAGTGGGGCTGGAGGCTGGGCTCGTGACAAGGTCACAGCCACTGGTCTCCCCCACCAACCCCGAGACCCCCACACTGAGAGGTGACAGGGGACAGTCAGGGCAATGTGGAGGAACATCTTGGTGCAGCAGAATTGGTATTAGATGTCTGGGATCCAGTTCTAGCTCTGCCCCTAGTTGATGCGACCTTGGGAGAGTCACTCCCTCTATAGGTCTCAGTTTCCCCACCTGGAAAATGGAGGTTGGGCTCTAGCCTTAGTTTTCTAACTGTATGCTTTCAGCATCCTTGTGTTTTCTCAGGTGCATCAGGGGCCGGGATCAAGTGCTCCTCAAGAGAGGAAGCACTGCCTGTACCCGTCCATATCCTGGAGCTGCGCTAAGATTATTTCAACACAGGTTTCTATTACTAAAAAGTCTGAACACCAGGGGCTTTGATCTGAGCCCCTGGCTATACTATGGGGGTTGCAGATGCAGTCACTTCAGTGAGTCCCAGATACTGGATGTCCCTGCCCAAACTCACATGGTTTACTTTATTGCTAGGAAGAGAGGGGCCTAGAAAATGGATGTGTACAGCTAGACAGCTGGGATGGAGCTGTCTGCACATCACGGTGTATGTGGGACAATGGATTTCTTTTCTGGTTGGGTGACAACAGAACCACATAAGGCCTGCATAGTTGTCTGTCCATGTGCTTGCCCACTCGCTCGACAAACATTTACTGAGCATCTCCCATCTCCTACATCTATAGAGTGGCGCAGAGCCCAGGTCCTGGAGACACCGCATATGTATCACAGGCTCCCCCTTCCCACCTGCTGTTGTCTAGGTTTCTCAGGTAAGCCTGCCCCCTGTGCTGTGCACACGCCATTCTCTCTGCCTGGAACACCCCTCCAACACCCTGCTCCCCTCCCCTGCCTCCCACATACTTTGCCAAGGTCACTCCTATTCACCTTACAGATCTCAATCGGATGTCTCCTGAAGTGGGTCCTGCCCTATCACACACTAGCACTCCATGCCTGTCCTTCATCCCACCAGCAGCAACAACACGCCCGGAATGTGCAGGGCCCTATTCTGAGTGCTCTACATATGTTAATTTATTTACTCCTCACACTACTCCTATGAAGTTGGTACTACTGTTATTTCCATTTTACAGAAGAGGAAGATGAGGTGCAGGGGGATTAAGAGAGCTGCCCAAAGTCACCTAGCTGCTAAGTGGCGGAGGTGGGTTCGATCTGAGGCAGTCACATGGACTCTAGGCTATATTACACTCACTATGGTTTGTAAAATAATTTTTGACTATCACCTCCTCTACTCTCTTAGAAGTTCCATGAGGGCAGGAGTGGGATCAGTTTCGCTCATCACAATTGTCTACAGCATCTAGCACAGTCCTGGCATGTAAGTCTACAATAAATATTTACTAAATCAGTGAATGATGATGGGCAGATGATAATCTTGTACTCAGTTTTCTTACCTGATAAATGGGATAATAATACATGCCTTGAAAAGCTGTTATAAAGACCTTAGATACTATAGATGAGACACCTGGCATGGTGCCAGGCATTTAGTAGGTACCCGATAAATGGCAGATTATAATAATCATAACACACAATTCTTGCCTTCAAAAGGCTCCCAGTCTCATAGGTAAAACAGACCAGTAAATACATGTTTACAACACAATGCAATAAGCAATAAATCGAAGTGCTAGTAGAATCTAAGAGTGCAGGGGAAGGGCATCTACCTTTGCCCTTGCAGGTCACTGTTACCATCTGATCAGTCACCTCAGATCCTGGGAACAAAGTGTAAAAGGGAAAGCTGCTGCTAAAAGATGGATCATGTAGGAAGTCAAGAGTTCCTACTATTGATAAGCAGAGGGTTGATTTCTCAAGGGGCATGGTCTCCACTCACACAGAGTTGCCAGGCGATGGCAAGTATGAAAGGGTGGGAAGGGTATAGGCTTGGGGGTCACCTGGCCTCTATGCCTTGGCTCTGCACTGCACACACTGGGGACCTTGGGCAATCTCTTCTCCTCCCTGGATCAGTAAAAAGAGGGGCTTGAATGAGAATTCAGTGCTGCTTAGATGTTTCTGCCAACCTCAGAGGAGAGGGAACAAGGGCCTTTGGGGAATAATAGAAAGCTCACATGATCTTAGACTTTGCTACTTTGTTTTAAGATGTTTAGGTGTTCTGTGTTCTACACTATGACATATCTGTACTCATTTTGATATTAAAATAATGTTTTTTCCCCTCCTAAAGCTTCGAATCAAATTTATGTTTCAGGAAGATGTGTGACATTTATCCCGTGGCTTTGCCCTCAGGGGTACATGCACCCTAGTCTGAGAAGCATGGAACTTGCCTGCAATAAAACATCACGCAGCTGTATAAATGACTCTGTTGATGAATATTTAATAACCCGGAAGGAAATTTCAACGGTATGGAGTGAGAAAAGCAAGGTTACAAAACAGTACAATTTCATTGGCCTTAAAAATTAAGAAAGGATAAATGTACCTATAAAAAGATGAAAAATACCTGATGTAAGGTTAGAGGTTAACATGATAGTGCTGTAGAGCCTGGAACATAGTAAATGCCTGGCATACAGTAAGTGCTTAATAAATGCTGTATATGGTAAATGGGAAAAATATAAGCCAAGTGTTAGCAACAGTTCTTTGGGGTGGTGGTGAGATTAGAGGTGATTTCATTCACATATCCTAAATTTCCTTCAATAGACAGATATATATGTGGTGTGTGTGTATACATACACACATTTGTAGTGAGAAAAACTGTTTTTTAAAAAAGATCAAAATTCTGAGTTCAGATATCATGAAACGTAGTATTCCCAAGTTTCAGGCCCTGACTCCCACCTGTCACATCTAAATACATGGCTGGGATATAAGAGATTGGCAGAGAATGTGCAACTCTCTGAGACCCACCCAGCAGCAGAACAGCCACTTAGAAGGCAGGTCCCTTGGATACCGTGTGATCATCACGTTTGCATATGAAAGACAGGAGGTTAGCTGCCTTGCACATTATGGGGGTGGAAGAAAAACTGCAGGCTGGTAGGGCCCTGTTATGCATATCACAGAGACAAAGGAGGAGGCTTTTTAACTTTTTTTTTTTTTTTTAAACCACTGGGCATCTGGCAGCCCTGGAGGCCAGATGCATCCAAATGACAGGTATTTACTGGGCATCTGGTATATGTATATCTTTCAGAGCAAGGTTTATTTGGAAGTTCTTCTGAGTAGAAATCTGACATCTTTTCACCCAGAAAGATACATTTTCAAACACGCATTATAAGCCACATATTATTTTAAGGGAGACCCATGGACCTCAGGTTAAGAGCCCCTGATCTTAGGGGTGGGCAGTGGGCATCTGCAATAGAAAGTAGAGGAAGTTGCAGAGATGGAGAACTGGGCTAGGATCCCACCTCTCTGATTTTAGTCCCTGCTCATTTGTGTGTGAGTCCAGCACACATCTACTGAGCGCTAATTAAATGCCAAGCACTGGGAACACCAAGATTCAATTTCATGCAATTCAGGAAGTATTTACTGTGTACCTGCTTTGCCAAGCACCAGGCTAGGCTCTGGGGATAAAGCAGTGAACAAAACAGTCCCCACCTGCACAGACCACTGTGGTACTGGGCCCATTTGTCCTTTTGGCCTCTGTTCTGCTCCTAGAGATAATGTCAGCTCTTCTCTCTGCCCTGCTGTCTCTTTCACTCACTGTCTTGTTCTGGGAATGACAATGCCACCTCACTGGGCTGGCTCTGTGCAGTTCCTGAAGTGCTTCTGCGCATGCAGTTGCATTGGCTTCTTTCGGCAGCCCTATGAGGTAGGCATTATCATCATCACCCCTGTTTTGTTGGTGAGAGGTGGCTGCTTGTGTCAAGGGCTGGCTTTTCAATAGTTCACAGCGAGGTAGCTGCTTTGCCACGCATGAAACTCTGACTCAGAGGCAGCTTGCTGACAAGTGATTTAACATTGGGCTTCTCATGGGCTTGCCTCCTGCACAGGGCGAAGAAATTTTCCAGGAGAAGAAATCAAGCCTTAGGGAGGTTAAATGCCTTGCCCAAGTTAAGTGCAGACCTCAGATTTGAACCTAGGGCTTCCCAACATTAAGAGATGTGTCCCTTTTGCCAAGCTGCTTCTCAATAAAAGGTCATTGCAGCAAGGCAGGGAGGATGGAGAGAGCTTGGGAGGGTGGCAGGCCCCGGGTCTGGGGGAACCTTGAACCCTAACCAGCTGCATGGGGGTGGTGGTGAAGCTCTTGTGCCTGATCCCTGGCTAACGGATCCTCCAAGGCTATACATAGGAAGTGAAGGAAAGCAGTGCTGGAAGGATCCCAGGCCAAAGTGCTAGGAGTGCTGGGTAAGGCATGCAGGCAAATGGCCTTCAGACTTCACCTGGGGCACGTGCAAACACTATGATCCCTCTTCTGTCACCTAGCTCCCAAATCTCACCATTAAGCTCTGCAGCTACCCTGTGCCCCGGGGCTGGTGCTGCCTGAGTTCCAAAACTGCGGCTGCTCCTGTCAGTGACTCATCCTTTGAGCTCCCAGGCCGGCAGCCCACCGGAACCGGAGTGGCAGGCTGGCTCAGCCTGTTCCTGTTTATGTGAGGAGGGAGGCTCTGTCCCAGTTAGCTTTTCTTCCCTTCCCAATGTGGCCAGTAGTGACCGCCCAGCCATGCCCACACAGCCACGGGGGCCCTGCCCAACAGAACATGATGCTCAGACCTGCCCGGGCTTCAAGAACCTCTGACTGTCAGGGCCTCACAGGCCCTGAGGGATATGTGGTCCGGGCAGTTAATTTCTCAGGTGGAGAAACTGGCCCAGGGAGGAGAAGCCGCTCTCCCAAGGGTAACAGCCAGTCAATGTCCGAGCTCGGATGTCGCCTTCTACCGCAACCACCATTTGCTGACATGTTTGCGTGCTTACCACATGTGGGGTCCTGCTCCAAGCACTTTACACACATTAACACATTTAATCCTCACAACAATCCTAGAAGGTAAGTGCTACTCTTACTGCCATCTTACAGATGAGGAAACTGAGGCACAGAGAAGTTAAGTCCCTTGGCCAAGGTCCACCAATAAATGGGCAGAAGCTAAGACTAGAACCCAGGCAGTCTGCCTCCAGAGCCCATACTACTGGCAACATACTAGATGAGACTAAGCCCCTAAGCCCATGACAGGGCATTCTGCGTCCCACACCACGTCACCTTGGAGAAGTTTCCAATATCCCCCCTGCCCCTCATCTATCTAGGAGATGGTGCTGGGCTCCATAGCCTGTTACCATGTCCAAAAACACTGCCAGTAGACACTGAGTCCTTGTCTGTAGGATTACTGCTCCTATGTCACTGTGGGGACAGAGGGGAGTGGGGAGGCGTACGGGAGTCACCTTGGGGAATTTTCTACCAGCTCTCCTCTGTGGGCAGGTTAATCGACAGGGAGGGTCTGCCCTCCTATGCTCGCTCTGTCAGCTCGGAGCCAGGCACATTGTCAGCCTAATGCTACTCGACACTCACAACCCTGCCGTGGGTTGACATGACTGCCCAGATCTTACGTGTGGGGCCACAGAGCCTGGGGTCACAGAGCCAGGAAGCAGCAGAACTGGGATTTGAATCCAGTCAATGGGTCTCTAGAGTCTACAATCTTTCTCTTATTCCACAGAAAGGTCGAGGAACCCATGAGGGGGATGGGGTGAGGCAGGTTTTCGAAGTTTTACTTGGGTAGGCCTGAAGTCAAGGGAGGTGCTGCTAGAGGAACTGAGAAGGGCTGAGGGGTGGAAAAGTCTAGAAGGAATGGTCCCAATCATTTCTGCCATCACAATATCACACCTTCAGCACTGCCCTGGGCTCTGAGAGGGAGAGCCTGGCCTCGCTGGGCACTGCTGTGGTCTCTGTCCTCTCCGGGAAAGGCTTCAGTGGTGGCCCCTCATTTTCTGCTACCTTTCGGGGGTGTGTAGCAGGCAAACCAGGAGTCAGATGGTATGTGGTGCCTGAGAGTAGAGTCCCCCAAACCACGACAAACATTTGCCGAGCACCTGCACGATGCCTGGCCCTTCACTGAGATCCTCTCCTCCCTTCAAGATGTTTTATGTTTCAACCCCAGCACTGACCAGCGTCGGGACTCCCAGCAGTGAGAACAGCCCCCATGAGAAAAATTTCTAGCTCCTCCCAAAGGCAAACGGATGGTGGATCTGGGGTTCTGGAAATGTGTACTGGCTCTCCACAGCCCCTCCACCCCATTAGTCCTGCTTACTGGGGGGCAACAAGACCAAGAGGGCCGCAGAGAAGGTAGCAAGATGACGGGCTTGGGCTGGCAGTGAGTCCATCTCGGGCGGACAGCGGGCTGAGGGCAAGGCCCACGTCTTCCGCATCTCTGCATTCCCCAGGCAGGCAGGACAGGGTGGGAAATGGAAAAAGATTCCGGCATAAGAAGATTCTGGACTAGAATGTGGGTGCTCACCATGTATCAGCTACATGTCTTGGGCAAGTTTAACCTCTCTGTAACTTAATTCCTGTTGTGGTCTTAAAAGACGCCTGTAAATTCCTCAACATTTCTCCTACCAATAGGTGGAGTCTATGTCCCCTCCCTGGCTGACTGCCCTGAACAGAAGGGGGCAGAAGTGATGTGATAGGACCATGAAGCTAGGCTAGAAAACTCCAGGTAGCCTTTGCTAGTTCTCTAGGGACACTTGTTCTAGAACATTCTGGCAGCCATGTGAGAAATCTGGCTACCCCGAGGCTGCCTTGTGGAGAGGGAGAGGGAGACTTCAGTGACTGATTTCAAATACTGACCCATTCAACCCTTATAACAAGAGTGTGAGACAGGTAACAGGACTGTCCTTTGGAGACAGACATCTGGGAGCTACAGGACTTGCCCAAGGCCATCACGGCTCATAGACAGAAGAGCCAGGACTCAGAGCCAGGCAGTTTGGTGCCAACATCTGTCCTCTTACCCTGACTGTGCTGCCTGCCCAGACTGGGCCTCCACTGCTTCTTCTCCCTGTCAGGGGAAGTTGGCCTGAGAAAGAGCTTCAGCCCATCTCAGAACAGAGGGGACAGGGCCATCCCAGAGCAGAGGGGACAGGTCTTCTCCCCTTGGCATAATCCATCATGCTCTGGTTGGGGGACTCTTCTGGGGAGGCACAGAAAAGTAGGACTGGGACCAAGATGATGAGAAGAGGTCTAGGAAGCAAGGCGGCCCAGTGTGTGGTCTGGAGCCGGGGCAGGGCAACTGACCGCTGTCTGCAGACGTCAGAGAGGCTATGCTACACTGCAAGGCAAGAGTGGTATCCGTGTCTGGAAGCTCAAGGCAGGCAGGTTTCCAAGTAACACGAACTAAGTCTTTAAGACTGGACCCTACAAGTCTATACTGTGGCTCTCCCTGTCCCT